TGTCCCCCACCCTCACTCACTACTTTCGCCAGGCTGGGGCAGAGGGTTGGAGTGTGGGAGAGGGTGAGGGCTTCGGCTGGGGGTGTGGGCTCTGGGATGGGGCCAGGGATGAGGGGTTTGGGGTGCAGGAGGGGGCTCCAGGCTGGGGCCAAGGGGTTCGGAGTGTGGGAGGGGATGCGGGGTGCAAGCTCTGGGAGGCTGCGGGAGGGGATTCCGACCTGGGGTTGGGGTGTGGGAGGGAGTGCAGGGTGCAGGCTCCGGCTGGGCGGTGCTTACCTCAGGCGGCTCCGGAAGTGGTGACATGTCTCTCTGACTCATAGGTGTAGGGGTGGCTACAGGGGCTCCACGTGCTGCCCCCACTCGCAGGCCCTTTCCCCGCAGCTCCCATTGGCCATGGTTCCTGGCCAATGGGTGCTGTGGAGTTGGCGCTCGGGGTGGGGCAGGAGCCACACGGAGCCAGGGCAGGCAGGGACTAGCCTTTTAGCGGCCCAGTTAGCAGTGCTGACTGGAGCCGCCAGGGTCCCTCTTTGACCGGGAGTTCCGGTCAAAAACCGGATGCTTGGCAACCCTATAGAGTGGAGAGTCCAAAGGGACTGTCTGTGACTCCATGGTAAGACTGGTAGAGTGATCGAGGAGTTCACATTTGTTAGAATTATAGGCCACATCACCAGCTTGGGGAGTCTTGCGTTTTCTGACAGTCTGCCCTGAGGTGGGCACTCATGGTCATGAGCCACTCCAGACAGCATGACAAATATTCAATTAAATGACAGGTTTCAGAGTAACAGCCGTGTTAGTCTGTATTCGCAAAAAGAAAAGGAGGACTTGTGGCACCTTAGAGACTAACCAATTTATTTGAGCATGAGCTTTCGTGAGCTACAGCTCACTTCATCGGATGCATACCGTGGAAACTGCAGCAGACTTTATATACACACAGAGAACATGAAACAATACCTCCTCCCACCCCACTGTCCTGCTGGTAATAGCTTATCTAAAGTGATCATCAAGTTGGGCCATTTCCAGCACAAATCCAGGTTTTCTCGCCCTCCACCCCCCCACACAAATTCACTCTCCTGCTGGTGATAGCCCATCCAAAGTGACCACTCTCCCCACAATGCGCATGATAATCAAGGTGGGCCACCCCCAGCACAAATCCAGGCCTTCTCACCCCCCACACCTCCATACACACACAAACTCACTTTCCTGCTGGCAATAGCTCATCCAAACTGACCACTCTCAAAGTTTAAATCCAAGTTAAACCAGAACATCCGGTGGGGAGGGGGGCGTAGGAAAAAACAAGGGGAAATAGGCTACCTTGCATAATGACTTAGCCACTCCCAGTCTCTATTTAAGCAAAAATTAATAGTATCCAATTTGCAAATGAATTCCAATTCAGCAGTTTCTCGCTGGAGTCTGGATTTGAAGGTTTTTTGTTGTAAGATAGCGACCTTCATGTCTGTGATTGCGTGACCAGAGAGATTGAAGTGTTGTCCGACTGGTTTATGAATGTTATAATTCTTGACATCTGATTTGTGTCCATTTATTCTTTTACGTAGAGACTGTCCAGTTTGACCAATGTAAATGGCAGAGGGGCATTGCTGGCACATGATGGCATAGATCACATTGGTGGATGTGCAGGTGAACGAGCCTCTGATAGTGTGGCTGATGTTATTAGGCCCTGTGATGGTGTCCCCTGAATAGATATGTGGGCACAGTTGGCAACGGGCTTTGTTGCAAGGATAAGTTCCTGGGTCAGTGGTTCTGTTGTGTGGTATGTGGTTGTTGGTGAGTATTTGCTTCAGGTTGCGGGGCTGTCTGTAGGCAAGGACTGGCCTGTCTCCCAAGATTTGTGAGAGTGTTGGGTCATCCTTTAGGATAGGCTGTAGATCCTTAATAATGCGTTGGAGGGGTTTTAGCTGGGGGCTGAAGGTGACGGCGAGTGGCGTTCTGTTATTTTCTTTGTTAGGCCTGTCCTGTAGTAGGTAACTTCTGGGAACTCTTCTGGCTCTATCAATCTGTTTCTTTACTTCCGCAGGTGGGTATTGTAGTTGTAAGAAAGCTTGACAGAGATCTTGTAGGTGTTTGTCTCTGTCTGAGGGGTTGGAGCAAATGCGGTTGTATCGCAGAGCTTGGCTGTAGACGATGGATCGTGTGGTGTGGTCAGGGTGAAAGCTGGAGGCATGCAGGTAGGAATAGCGGTCAGTAGGTTTCCGGTATAGGGTGGTGTTTATGTGACTATTGTTTATTAGCACTGTAGTGTCCAGGAAGTGGATCTCTTGTGTGGACTGGACCAGGCTGAGGTTGATGGTGGGATGGAAATTGTTGAAATCATGGTGGAATTCCTCAAGGGCTTCTTTTCCATGGGTCCAGATGATGAAGATGTCATCAATATAGCGCAAGTAGAGTAGGGGCGTTAGGGGAGGAGAGCTGAGGAAGCATTGTTCTAAGTCAGCCATAAAAATGTTGGCATACTGTGGGGCCATGCGGGTACCCATAGGAGTGCCGCTGATTTGAAGGTATACATTGTCCCCAAATGTAAAATAGTTATGGGTAAGGACAAAGTCACAAAGTTCAGCCACCAGGTTAGCCGTGACATTATCGGGGATAGTGTTCTTGACGGCTTGTAGTCCATCTTTGTGTGGAATGTTGGTGTAGAGGGCTTCTACATCCATAGTGGCCAGGATGGTGTTATCAGGAAGATCACCGATGGATTGAAGTTTCCTCAGGAAGTCAGTGGTGTCTCGAAGGTAGCTGGGAGTGCTGGTAGCGACCTGGATTTGTGCTGGAAATGGCCCAACTTGATGATCACTTTAGATAAGCTATTACCAGCAGGACAGTGGGGTGGGAGGAGGTATTGTTTCATATTCTCTGTGTGTATATAAAGTCTGCTGCAGTTTCCACGGTATGCATCCGATGAAGTGAGCTGTAGCTCACAAAAGCTCATGCTCAAATAAATTGGTTATTCAATTAAATAACATCACTATTTTGTGATGCTCACAAAGGTTTTGCAGGAGTGTGAGCGCCAACCTCAGGACTGACTCAGGGCACCAACCCCAAAAGTTGGGAGTTCTAAACTTAGACTTCACCAACCAAATGCACCAAGTGAACACTTCTCAGGCACCCAAACCAGGCCTTCCCCCCCCGCACCGCCCCTTCCCTCACTGCCTGACCCCTACCCCCGAGGCCTCCTCCCCCACGGCACCCCTTCTCCCTGAGGCCCTGCTCCTTCCTCCAAGGCCCCACCCCTGCGCCTCCTCTTCCCCTCAAAACCCCACCCCCTGCTCTCTCCTCTCCGCCCCGCCATTACTCACCCTTACAGATGGTAAAAAGTGATGGGGCCATGGGCCCCCTGGCCCCCCCCGTTCTGGCGCCCCTGGTCACAAACAGCCCCTTGGGTTCGCCAATCTGTCTTGCCACACAGGTGATCATAGCTCTGTGGTAGATGGCCCCTTACACTAAGAATCACAGCAACGTTCAGGTTATTTCTGATCCCAAAGAACCAGTCAATTATCCCAGTCAGTTGTGCTTTAGGTCTCACCCCAAAGACAAAGTTTGTAGTCAATCCTATAGTAAACTATATGGAGATGTATTAAACAGGAAAAGGAAATTAGAGAGTTATTTGCAAGCCAGCAAATATAGACACACAGGTGACACAAATGAATTACAGTCTTAGATTTCAAAAGATAATGTAGGCTTCTGTCATCAGCAAGCTCTGTATGTTCTTTAGGGCTAACCCAGGCTAAGCAGGCAAGGATCTCTTGGTTACGCCTAAAAACAGCTTGTGTCCCCCTGTGCCTGAGTCCAAGCAGCACAGAGACCTTAGTTCCTTTGGTCTGAGGTTTTTATCCCTCTCCTGCCATATGCTCTGAGCTGCAAACTCAGCAGAAGGGCAGCGTCCACTCAGGTGACTCACCCTCACAGGGAGGGAGGGAGCAGCAAACCAGCTATAGGAGTCCTTTTGTTAACAGTTTGTCAGTCCAGATGTGGGGAGTTTCCAGTTGTAAGAACGAACCAGAGCCCACCTGGTATTGCCGGGTCTCCTCTTTGCGGGGGGGAGGGGCATAATTTCTGTAGAAGAGCAGCTCCCACACTAATTAATGTCCCTCTCCTCTCTGGCAATTCAGTCCCAGAGGGTCCCAATACTCCTGCTCCAACATTATCTTCCAGTCTGGAGCACAGATATTATAGGTAAGATGAACACAGGTGACAACTCACAAGTATTCAACAGAGTCTAGACACTAAAAACTTTCTTATAATTCTAATACCTATTTTATCACTATTAACCCACATGTGTCCAGTCAGGGTGACCAGATGTCCTGATTTTATAGGGACAGTCCCGATTTTTGGGTCTTTTTCTTATATAGGCTCCTATTACCCCCCACCCCCGTCCTGATTTCTCACACTTGCTGTCTGGTGACCCTGCGTCCAGTTGAGACATGGAACCCTGGCATGAGCTGGTGCCTGGTCTGCTGGTGTTACATATTTATCTCCAGATCTCAAGGCCCTTTACAAGGCTGGGTCAGCACCATTATCTTCATTTTACAATGGGGAAACTGAGGCATGGAGCGGGGAAGTGACTTCCCAAGATGTCACAGAGAGCTGGGAATAGATCTCAAGCCCCATTTCCCACTGGAACCTGCTCTCTCCCAGAGCTGGCAATATACCCCCAGCATCCTGAGCGCTAATCATGCGACCAGGCTCGTGCCCACCCCCGACATCAGAAGTATTTTATGGTGTATTTGAGACATGCCACTGTAAGGCAGGAGAATCCAGAGCTCAAATGTAGCCTGTGGGTCTTCAAATCCAGATCCCAAGAGGCAAATGAGTTCCCACCCTCCTAGCCCCAAATGCTGATGGGGCAGATGTCTTAGCTCTTTTTCACCACATGGTGACTTTCACTGGGATTTTGCCTCCATTCATGTTTAACTCTCCAGCCCATGAATCATGGTAAATGACCTCCCCAAAAGCTACCATCTTCCTCCTGCAGCCACAGGCTGATGAGAATGAGAACCAAGCCAAACTACAGCCTAGCTGGAAAGGGCAGCTCTGCAATCTCCCCCGGCAGAATCCCCAGCCTAGCTCTGCAGGTGCTGGAGTGTTCAAAGGGGCATATGAACATCGCAGGTACAGAGGCTCCCCACCTGTCAGGCCCCCAAGCCTCAGGATTCACAACCTAGTGTCATGCACTGGCTGTAACCCCCTGCAGAGATGGCAGCCAGTGGCCAGGGACAGGCCTCAGTGCTGCCTGGGGCTGGCCCTCCTGATGCTGGCTTTTACCCTCTCTGGTAGCTTGGCCTCACCCTGGCATCCAGTCCATCTTCATCAACAGATGCAGCAGTCCTGCCCCGGGGGTGTGTGACTTTGTGTGCGACTGCAGGGACTGCTCCGATGAGAACCAGTGTGGTGAGTGCTGCCTCTGACTTCTGCTCTTTGGCTTCTGGCTGCTCTTTCCTGCATAGCAGTTTTCCTGGGATTAGCAATCTGCAGCCCAAGAGGCTCGGGTTCCCAGGGGTCCTTGACCCTGAACCTGCTCCAAGAGAAGAGTAGGGAACCAGGTAGGGTTGCCAATCCTCCAGGATTGGCCTGGAGTCTCCTGGAATCAGTATCCATCTCCCGGCGACTATTGAAAGGAATCCAGGAGATTTTAATAGGCTATTTTAAGAAAATTACATTATGTCATGTTGGGGAAAAAAACCCTCCCGGAATAGCTTCAGTCAGAGTTGGGAACCCTAGAACCAGGGCCCCACTGCATCACACAAGGATGGGCCAAAGGCCCTGAATGAGCGAAATGCGCTGCAGAGCTACGCAACTGTTGCTTTCCTGCTGGCTCTGCCTGGCACACAGGCCCCATGAGAGCCACCTCAAGCTATCCACATGCCACTTACCCACCCACCTAAGTACCCACTCTCCTCACCCATTCCACTCATCCCCCACTTCCCTACCCACTCCCCCAGGAATCCCTAAATGTCCGATGCTGCTGATTTATCACCAACAGAAACATCCTGGAATTTGCTACTCTCAGGAATGAGTGCTGCCCAGCCCTCATGAGCACTAATCACTCTCCTCTGCTTCCCGGCAGGTTATCACAAAGAATCAGTCACGCTGGGAACTCCCTTCACCTGCGATTTTGAAGAGGGCAACTGTGGATGGAAGGATGTGAGCACCTCTGCCTACAGATGGGTCACAGGCCGAGCCAGCATCGCCATGTGGGGGACAGGGCCCAGTGCCGATCACACCCGGGGCACTGATCTGGGTAACCGCACCACATTCCACTGGGTACATAAGAACATAAGAACGGCCAGACTGGGTCAGACCAAAGGTCCATCCAACCCAGTGTCCTGTCTGCCAACAGTGGCCAATGCCAGGTGCCCCAGAGGGAGTGAACCTAACAGGCAATGATCTAGTGATCTCTCTCCTGCCATCCATCTCCACCCTCTGACAAACAGAGGCTAGGGACACCATTCCTTACCCATCCTGGCTAATAGCCATTAATGGACTTAACCTCCATGAATTTATCCAGTTCTCTTTTAAACCCTGTTATAGTCCTAGCCTTCACAACCTCCTCAGGCAAGGAGTTCCACAGGTTGACTGCGCTGAGTGAACAAGAACTTCCTTTTATTTGTTTTAAACTGGCTGCCCATTAATTTCATTTGGTGGCCCCTAGTTCTTATATTATGGGAACAAGTAAATAGCTTGGGTAGCCAGTGGCTGCTCTCCTTACCGCTGCACTGGGGTATCAGAGCTGAAAAAATCTCCCTCCCTGCAGCAGCTGTACCTGACGAGTGTTTAGGGGTAGGGTGCACTGTGGTCTTCAGAACAGATCCACCTGTGATCAGCACACGGTGGCTCTTAGGGACTCCTTAGCCCTGTTGCTTTAAGGCTGGGATTATAAATGCACAAAAGCCAGGGTGTTACCTGCACCATACACTCTAGGGCACCCACCTTCACCATTCTGTGGGCTCAAGGTATAACCTGATTAATTTAGGCACCCCCACCCTTACCCAGTTCCTAATGCTCTGGGCGAAAGGCACCTACCCTTACCCAGTTCCTAGGGCTCAGGATGTAATCTTTTGTGGGTTTGCAGAGTCTTTTACCAGTGAAGGAGCCTTGCACAGTAATATTCTCTATTTATTAAGTTACCAAAACAGAACACACAGGCTAAGCAGACAGTGCTCCTCACTCCCAATAAGGCAGATGAACTTTTCCTGGTGGCCAGGCAGGATCAGGTCATTTGGAGCTAGAGCTTCTGCACAGTATGATTGGCAGGTGTTGAGGTCTGGCAGCTCTGATCCTGGGCTGTGTCCTGGAGTTGGGTGCTAAAGAACTTCCTTTTGGATCCCAGTTTATATAGTGAAACTTGAGTCCTGCTTAGCTCTACCGTCACCAACCATTGTAAACTGAAGTGTTATAAGACAGTATTTTTACCCATCCTAGCCCATTGTGAAACCATTCTTTACCCAATCAGACCCCAGCGCCTGAGTTGATTTAAATCTTGCAAAATTAGTTATGCCACAGACAGAAATGATCAAAGAACCAGACAGAGACCCTACAGATAAACAATAGAGAAGTGGGGCCCGTAAAGGCAAAACAATAGAAGTAGAGATTTCACAATCACAACTGTTGAGAAAAGAACAGGGGTACTTGTGGCACCTTAGAGATGAACAAATTTATTTGAGCATAAGCTTGCGTGGGCTACAGCTCACTTCATTGGATGCATCCACTGTTGAGAAGTGGTTCCTTGCCAGGCAGAACGCTGTCAAACAAAGTTTTCTTTAAACTTTTTAAGCTCTGTTTCTTGGTTGGTGGTGGTGGGCACTGTTAGGACAGAAGCACATTCTTCACAGCCGGATATGACATTGTTTTGATGTAATTTAGAGGGAATGTGAGGATGTGACTCTCTGCTTCTTAGCTCATGGCTGCGACTGTCCTACTGTGGCTGCTGCACCTTCCTGCAGAAAAAGGCCTCAGACCTCGCAAGGGAATTTGGGAGCCAGTTTCTTTATTAGCCAGTGCAAAGCTGCTGTGAACTACCCAAATGGGGGGCTTTTCCCATTCTCGGCCGGAGTAAAGGGCTACCCAGGATGTAGGGCACTGGGGAGTCTGGCCCTTGGAGTCCTGAAAGGCCCATCCAGTCACATGACTTCATGGCACTTAGACAGAATTTGGTATTTCTGTAGCTGGGCTTTGTCTTTATTCTTTAAGACACATGCTGGCTTTGTGTCTGTCTATGCTGCAATAAAACACCTGGGGCTGGCCCAGGTCCACTGACTTGGGGTTGTGGGGCTATAAAATTGCAGCGTAGACATCCAGGCTTGGGCTGAAGCCCTGTCTCTGGGACCCTCCCCATTCACACCCCTGAGCGGCACAGCTTGGTTGATCTACATTTTAAATGTAGACCAGGCCTGAGAAAAGGACGAGGCATGATGGAGGTAGTCAGAGATGAGGAGGCCTGTGCAAGGAGCTGGCGTAAGTGGAGACGCAGAGAAGAAAGGGTGGGGGAAGGCTGCTCCAGGTGCCATGAGCTGCAGAGGAGACGGCTCTTTGCACAGCTAACAGTGACTCAGTTCTCAGGAGTATATGGAATCATGCAGTCAGATAAAACGGGGTAAATGCTGCCTCACGCTCTGGCAGTGCTGCACAGGAATGAGAACTGTTTTCACAGCTTGCATCCGATGAAGTGGGCTGTAGCTCACGAAAGCTTCTGCTCAAACAAATGGGTTAGTCTCTAAGGTGCCACAATCCTCCTGTTCTTTCTCCTGGGGGGGTATTCCTCCTGGTGGTCTGTGTTAGAGCCTAAGAACTAGAGCCCGGTTTGAGACTCCTGGTGAGAACACACGTGGTGTGGCAGTCGCGGTGGGTCTGTTTCTCGTGAAGTGGATCAGGGAAGGGAATGTGTCTGCTTCTCTGCCTTGCCCTTGCAATGTGAATACCCCTCCTGATGTATGCTCTCCCCAGGCTGGTACATGGCTGCAGAGATGCGCAGAAACACGTTTGCTGCCATCGCTAGGTTAAGGTCCCCTGTGATGCGACAAGCAGCAGCCACCTGTGAGATCAGAGCATGGTATCGCCTGTGGGAAACAGGTAAAGGTGCACCCACTGCACTGTCTGCTACAGCAGTGCTGCACTGCTGGGGGTTCACAGCCTCTCCTGCCCCTGACACAAGCACAGGGACAAGAGCTGTGCCTAGTGTTCAAAGAAGCACTGGAGGGGCCAGGGCAGCTGCAGAGGGTGGAGGCTGGGATGGGATCAGCTGGCCAGGACAATTGATGGGGTGGGGTTGCTCCCAGCAGGTTGATGTGCTATTGTCTGGTATAGGGAGGTGTGCACGCCTGTCCAAGACAGCTGGTACGGGACCCTTCTGGAGACAGGATCTGGGCTTGATGGAGCCCTATCTGATCCGATCTGGCAGTGCTTATAGTCCTTGTATAAATTGAATTGTCAATGTTTTAGCAGCTACTGAGCACCAGATACCATTGGTATTACTACTAAATAGCCCCTTGCCTTCCACTTGCCCATTTCCTTCTGAGGGTCCATAAGCATTTTACAGACATTTCTGAATCCTCTCAGTCTCCCTGTGATGTGGGGAATAATATAATCCCCATGTTATGGCTGGAGAAACCGAGGCACCGAAGCGGAAGGGATTTGCCCAACTTTACCCAGTGAGTCAATGGCAGAGCCAGGGACAGGGTCAGAATCTATCATACTCTGTCTGGGTCTCTAGAGGGCCACTGGACCGAGAGAGACCCTTCCAGCTGCCAGGCCACCAGAACTTGGTCCTTCTGGTGGAATTAAAGCAGAACCTTACTGAACTCAGGAGTCCTAGTTCCCAGTTGCCTAGAAACTGTAAAGCACAAGCCAGGCTGGCCTCGCACCCTGAGCAGCAGCATTCTGTGCTGCTGTGCAGAAGACTTGAGTGGGGGGCACCATGGTGCCCTAGCTAGGATGAGAGGATGGCACTGGTTGATGCTAGAAGAACATAAGAATGGCCCTACTGGGTCAGACCAAAGGTCCATCTAGCCCAGTATCCTGTCTGCTGACAGTGGTCAATGCCAAGTGCCCCAGAGGGAATGAACAGAACAGGGAGTCATCAAGTGATCCATCCCCTGTCACTCATTCCCAGATTCTGGCAAACAGAGGCTAGGGACACCATCTCTGTCCATCCTGGCTAACAGCCATTGATGGACCTATTCTCCATGAATTTATCTAGTTCTTTTTTGAACCCTGTTATAGTCTTGGCCTTCACAACATCCTCTGACAAGGAGTTCCACAGGTTGATTGTGTGTTGTGTGAAAAAATACTTCCTTTTGTTTGTTTTAAACCTGGTGCCTATTAATTTCATTTTGTGGCCCCTAGTTCTTGTGTTATGAGAAGGATTAAATAACATTTCCTTATTTATTTTCTCCACCCCAGTCATGATTTTATAGACCTCAATCATATCTCCCCTTAGTCGTCTCTTTTCCAAGATGAAAAGTCCCAGTCTTATTAATCTCTCCTCATATGGAAGCTGTTCCATACCCCTGATAATTTTTGTTGTCCTTTTCTGAACCTTTTCCAAGTCCAATAGATCTTTTTGAGACGGGGCGACCACATCTGCATGCAGTATTCAGGTTATAGGCATAGCATGGATTTATATAGAGGCAACATGATATTTTCTGTCTTATTATCTGTCCCTTTCTTAATGATTCCCAACATTCTGCCGCAGCACATTGAGTGGATGTTTTCAGAGAACTATCCACAGTGACTCCAAAATCTCTTTGTTGAGTGGTAACAGCTATTTTAGACCCCATCATTTTGTATGTATGGTTAGGATTATGTTTTCCAATGTGAATTACTTTGCATTTATCAACACTGAATTTCACCTGTCATTTTGTTGCCCAGTCACCCCGTTTTGAGAGAATTGGTGACTAGAGACTGGCATGTCATGCTGGGGCCAGTGGTGAGCTGGAGCCGGTTCGCACCAGCACCTGGAGTACCCAAGGGGAAAATTTGGTGGGTGCAGAGCACCCACTGGCAGCTCCCCGCCCCACCCCCGGCCCCAACTCACCTCACCTCTGCTCCGCCTCCTCCCCTGAACGCGCCACCCAGCTCTGCTTCTCCGCCCCCCCCCCCCGGCTTCCCGCGAATCAGCTGTTTGCGCAGAAAGCCGGGGCAGGCTGAGAAGCAGGTGCCGGCTTCCCGCTCAGGCCCAGGGAGGCAGAGCGGAGGTGAGCTCGGGTGTGGGGGGCACAAGGAGGGCCGCCCACGCCGCAGCAGGTAACCCGGGGGGGGGCCACAGGGAACCACTCCCTGCCCCAGCTCAGCTCCGCCACCCTCGGCCTGAGCGGGAAGCCGCGGCCTGCTTCTCAGCCCTCCCTGGCTTCCCGCCAAACAGCTGATTTGCGGGAAACCGGAGCGGGGTGGGGGGGCACGGAGAAGCAGAGCGGGACGGTGGGTTCAGGGGAGGAGGCGGAGCGGAGGTGAGCTGGGGCCGGGTGCGGGGGCTGCCGGTGTGTGCTCTGCACCCACCAAATTTTCCCCGTGGGTGCTCCAGCCCCGGAGCACCCAGGGAGTCGGCGCCTAAGGCACCACTTTTGATGTGATCGGTGGGGGGAGCGGCCGCTCCCCCTGCTCCCCCCCAGCTACATTCCCCCGCCCCTAGGAGCCAGAGGGACCTGCTGGATGCTTCCTGGGAGCCGCCCCAGGTAAGCACCGCCGGGACTCCCCACCTTGCCCCCCGACAGGTGCCTCTGGCTCTTAGGGGTGGGGTGGGCACCCACTACGGTGGCCCACAAGATCCTCCTGCCCGGTTCTGGGGACAGTCAGGGGACAGGGGAGGGGGTTGGATGGGGCAGGGGTCCTGGGGGGGGGGTGGGCAACGACCCCCTCATGGGGTGAGGAGGGAACCCATTGTTAAGATTTTGGCAGCTCATCACTGGCTGGAGCACTCTTGGGGCGTCCAAGGCTGGAGGAGAGACCATGTGATCGTGTATCCTGGCTTGCTTGTAGGGCTTAACAAGACAGTGCAGCCGGCTCTGTGGGTGGAGCTGACATATGACAGTGAGACCATAACGCTGTGGCAGAGCCCTGAAAGCAGCATTTCTGCCTGGCAGGAGCTGGTTGCATACACAGGCCGGGTGCCAGGGGAGTTCCAGGTGAGAAACCAACCCTCAGCCTGCTCTGCGCCCCCTGGCAACAGCCTGAGCCAAGTTGGCAGAGCCTGAGCACATGCAGGCCTCCCATGCTAGCTAGGCGTGATGTGCTGATACATGGCCCTCCAATGTGTGGGGCGTGGGACACTGGCCTGTGGGGCAGCCCCACTCCTACCTCCCAGGGAAGCGCAGAGTTGCAAAGGCTGGGAAAGGGCTGGGTAGACATTGCAGCTGTGGCATGTGGTGGCCTGAGATAGGTCACATGGGAACCAGCCGGCTCTGGAGATCAGGGCACCGGTTCAATATTGGCCCACAGCATTAGCATAGAACCAGGCCTGACCGGACAGGCTCTAGACCGTCCACATGTGACAGGCTTGTGTCTACAGACCCCCTTTGAGAGGGGCTAGTGCTCATGTGTGATGGGCCCTGGACAGGGGGCATGCCCAGCAAATGCAAACTCTGCAACACCTGCTGCGGGGCTCTTGTCAGCCCTGGCTGGGGGAAAACAACCTCACAGTGGCTACTTGCCCCACCTGCGGGGGAAGAGCAGGCAGAATCATAGAATATCAGGGTTGGAAGGGACCACAGGAGATCATCTAGTCCAACCCCCTGCTCAAAGCAGGACCAATCCCCAATTTTTGCCCCAGATCCCTAAATGGTCCTCTCAAGGATTGAACTCACAACCCTGGGTTTAGCAGGCCAATGCTCCAACCCCTGAGCTATCCCTCCCGCCCAGAAGTCTCTCCCCCTCCCCATTCTCACAGGAGGGGAGGGGGAAGAGGGAGCAGAAGGAACCCAGAGGCTGTGGGTGGTCAGGCTGTGCCAGTCATGCCCACTCCTTGGGCCGTGTCAGTTGTCCTGGTGCCTAGGCTGTGCCCACACCGGGGTTTCTCTTCTCTTGGCAGATAACCCTCTCCTCGCAGCAGAGCTCCTTGCAGCTGGACGACGTGGAGTTCAGGAGCTGTGGCTTGCCACGTAAGGCAGCATGCCCCCCCCTCGCACCTGCCTCTACCCGGGGTGCTGCGCTTGGCTGTGGAGTCAGGAGGGAGCCAGTGCAAAGCCCCCAGATGCTTTCCTTATTCCTTTAGCCTCCCCCAACTTCCCTCGGCACGCCCAGGGCAGGACAGAGCCCCGGTCCAGAGCACATGACCCCCTCGGAGGGGCTGCTGCTGCGTGGGAAAGCGGGCACTCTCGCTGCACTGTGGCCAGCTACTTCCACCCCCCTGGCTGGCTGTTGATGTTGTGGATTCTCTGGGACCCCTGAGCTGGGCAAAGGGGTCAGAGGAAGTGAGCGCGCCACTGGCTGGAGAGGGCCCATTGCGGCTCAGTGGGCCCAAGCCTGTGCCCAGAGCTTACGTGTGACCAGAGCCAACAGTGTCCCTGGGGCTGCACATTGTGCCCGCTCCGACACCCGTAATGCACTTGAGCCAGAGCCCCAGTCACCTACGCTGTGCTGGCTACACAGTCCCACTGCCCCTCTTCTCAGCCAGCTGGGCCCAGCTGCCCCGGCCACGGACCCGCAGCAAGGGTTAAGTCCAGCTAGCAGCGTTCAGCTCTTCCCAACCCTCACAGCCTCATGCCCCCTCAACTCCCCGGGAGGCCCCAAGCACTACCAGCCTGCCACGCCCAGGCCATCCCTGGGGAGTGGGCACCAGCCCTGCAAAGCTGGGATTTGCCCTATCTCTCTGAGCGACTTAACCCTTTCCTGCCTGCACTCAGCGCCCCTGAGCCTAGTGTGTGGCTGGGAGGAGAGGATCTGCAGCCGTGGATCATGTGTGCAGCAGGATCAGCTCTGTGATGGCACCGACAACTGCGGGGATCTGTCAGACGAATCCACCACAGAGTGCAGTGAGTGTTCCCGGGCAGGAGGGAGCTCAGCACCAGCTGTCGGGGCAGGACAGCGGGCAGCATTCCTGGGCTGGAGAGCACCGGCCACCAGAGTTTGTAGAGTGGGCAGCATTCCCAGGCTGGAGACCAGCAGCCATCAGGGGCCCTAGAGCAGGCAGCGTTCCCAGGCCAGAGAGCGCTGAGCACCAGCTGCCAGGGCTGGAGAGTGGGCAGCGTTGGTGGGCCGGGGAGCACTGGCCTCCAGGGGCCCGAGAGCCGTGATGCTGTTAAATCCAGACAGGAACCACAGAGTGTATGTGTGTTGGAGTCAGAGGTGGACTTTCCCAGTCCACCCTGGGGAGCAGGCTAGGATTGCTGGGGGGCTCCATGCCTGAATGGCTCCCAAGAGCTCAGAGTTTGGCCAAATGTTGCCATGTGCCACCCTGCTGCATGAGCTGGGCTTGGGGGAGGTTTAGGTTGGATATTAGGAAAAACTTTTTCACTAGAAGGATGGTGAAGCACTGGAATGCGTTACCTAAGGAGGTGGTGGAATCTCCTTCCTTTGAGGTTTTTAAGGTCAGGCTTGAGAAAGCCCCGGCTGGGATGATTTAGGTGGACTGGTCCTGCTTTGAGCAGGGGGTTGGACTAGATACCTCCTGAGGTCCCTTCCAACCCTGATCTTCTATGATTCTGTGACTTGGGAACTTTGGCATTGCCTGGTTCCGGCTGGATGGGGAGGCGTTGAAGCAGCCTAACCCCACCTTCCAAGCCTGTATTTGCCGGGAACATCCCCCCAGGCCCAGAGCCCTGCTCCTAGGACCTAGGACCCCCAGCCACGCAGTTCTGGCTCCTCCTAGAAAGGGCGGTGCCACGTGTGCACACATACCCAGGCACCCCCAGCCAGCTTACTGGGTATCTCTGGCCTGGATGTGAGCCAGCCTAGCCTGAGTGGTTCTTGTATTGCCAGGCTCGGATCCCTGATCCTGAGCCTCTGCTCCCTTTGCAGGCTGCTCTAGACAACTCCCCGCTGTCCGCTGGGCATCCTGGTGAAAGCCCCAGGGGTGCTTCGTATGGGCAGCGGAGTGGGTCTTCCCCCAGCTCTCCTGCCCGCCAGGGCTGGGGAACTGAGCCTGGTGCCACCTTCCACATTGCCCCCCATGCCACTGAGTACCGGCTGTTCTCACACACCCCTTCAGCGGGAAGAGGGCAGCACCCTGTGTGCGCATGCAAGAGAGAGCAATCACCATGAAGGGGATAATGAAGGGAGACTCCAGCCCTGGGGATGCCCTGCAGAGCCCTCCTGCCGGGTGGTGAGGGGAACCCCCATGTGGTGTCACCCCTATTGCCAACTCCTTTCTCCTTCCAGGATCTTTCACCCTCTGTTCCTTTGAGACGGGCTGGTGTGACTGGGTCACTGCGCCCGATTACCCGACCTGGGTCAGGAACACAAGCCTCCACCTCGCGCCTGCAGCCCGCACCCCCACACGGGACCACAGCAGCAACAGCAGGACAGGTACCTCTGCAACCCACTTAGGGCTGCTGGGTCGCCCGCCCCCGCGCTGGGCCCCTCCTGTCAGGAGAGGGAAGCAGAGTCCAGGATGCACCAGGGGCCTGGGCTGCTAAGGGGCTGGGTGGTTTTCTGTGTGTGTCTAGGGCTGAATAGATGCCAGAGTCTGACCCTGTTCCCTGCCCCCCGGAATGCTGCTGCCTGGAGTGGTGTGTGGGGCCAGGTAACGCTCTCTGGAGAGGCCAGGGAGAAGCAGCTGGCAGATCCCGCCCATTCCTGTCCCATCCTGGTCATCAGGTCACTGTGACTTTAGGATTGGCTCAGCTCTGCTCTTACTGCTGTGAGGACTCCATGCAGAGGGCGGGTTTGGATTTCCCTGGAATATTTCCTGCCCTAGCCCTGGCCTGGCACAAGGCAAGCCCGTTCGCTACTACAGCTCCGAGCTCAAGACAAGCTGATGCTTTGCTTGCTCAGTTATTCAGTCACGGAACAGGGCCCAGGCTGGTTCTTAGGGCTCATGGAATCACACCCATGCTAGGGGCAGGTTCCACACTGGCTGCCTTTACTACCTTGATTATGGGTGTTCCCACAACGTACCGCGGGCCCTCTGGGATGGCTGGATGGAGCAGGCTCCAAAGCCGTGTCTTAGACCCCTCTGCTGGTGGTTCTGGGTAAGGGGACAGCCATAATGTCCTCCTGGAAAGCAAGCTCTGTGGTTACTGGAAGGCACTGCCAAGAAAATAGAGCATAACAAATGTTAAACATTAACCCCCTGCCAACACACCTGGGACAGGCTGGGACCTCTGAGCCCTTGGGGAGGAGATAAAAGCAACCTCACCTTACTGTTCCCATCGAGGATGAACTGTTCCCTCTGACACAGCACATCAGAGTGACCTTTGAGTCTGACAGTGTCTCCCCAAACACCCGTCCCCGAGTTCCGGCTCAAAGCTGCTCTCCTGCGTCAGTACATTCTGACATGGCGCTCGGTGTGCCCATGCACAGCAAGAGGTGTCTCTGCCCCCGCCAGCACAGAAGGGGGGCGTTGGGAGAGAAGTCCTAAGTCACTGTCCTAGCCACCCTGCCACTCTGCTCCGTCCTTAGCTCGCTAGTTTCTTTGACTGTTGGGTTTTTCAGTTGTCACAGGTACATTCTGATGTGCTCGTGTCTGTTTCAAACAGGGTCTTTGTTCCAGGGGTGGGTGATGGCATCAGAAGTCCCCAAGTTAAAGTAGCTCTCTTTGGCCTTCAGACCTTTATGCAAGCAAAATCTTACCAGATCTTTGTCTTCCTTCCTGCAGTCAACCCCCTTTGCGTCTTGTTTGCCTTGCTGGAGAGTGCCTTCCATGCCCACTGGGGAGCATGCTAGTGAAACACCAGTGAGCAGTTCACCATGGGAACTGGCTTGTGCAGGGAAGGTCACAAAATTAAAAACCAAATGTGCAAGTGCATGGAGGGGGCCCTAGTCTGCAAAGGTGTCTGCTGTTTGAGGCGGGGGCACTGGCAAAGCTGGGGGCCTCGCCCCAGGTGGCAGATTTCTCTCTATAGTATTTGCCTCTCTTCATCCTTCTTGCTGGGGACTCTTTCTGGGAGGCGGAGTTACTGGACAGGTCTAACAACAATCCCTAGCTCACATGGAGCGCTAGTCAGCAGGACATCTCAGCTCCAGGGGGTGCTGTCATTAGCCCCATTCTACAGCTGGGGAAGCTGAGCCACAGAGCAGGGAAGTGACTTTCCCATGGTCCCCCTAGAGCACACATCCCATTCCAGTACTTTGCCCACTAGGCCACACTGCCCCCTCTACCCCCGGCAGGTACAGCATGGTGCATGCCCAGTAACACATGGGGCCTGGGTATAAAGCCAGCCTGGGGGGCTGTACTGAATATGTTCTTAGGGTTGCCAACCCTCCTGGTCTGCCCTGGCGCCCCGCTGCTCTCGGAAGCGGCCAGCACGTCCCTGAGGCCCCTGGAGGGTGGGCAAGGGGGGTCTCTGCATGCTGCCCCCGCCCCTAGTGCCGACTCTGCAGCTCCCATTGGCCAGAAACTGCGGCCAATGGGAACTGTGGGGGGGTGCCAACAGGCAGGGTCAGTGCACAGAGCCCCCTGCCCCCCCACCCCCTCCCCCGGGGACGCAGGGATGTTGTGGCTGCTTCTGGGAGCAGTTCACGGACGGGACAGTGCGTGGAGCTCCCTGGCCCCACTTACCTCGTTGGCAGCGCAGCGGGGCTAAGGCAGTTCCCGGCCAATGGGAGCTGCGGAGTCGGCGCTCGGGATGCAGGCAGCACACAGAGATCCCTGCCCTCCCACTGCCAGGGGCCGCAGAGTTGTGCTGGCCGCTTCCGGGAATGGTGCGGGGCCAGGGCAAGCAGGACCCTGTCTTAGTCCCACTGCACCACTGACCGGGAGCTGCCTGAGGTAAGTGCCACCTGGCCGGAGCCTGCACCCCTCACCCCATCCCACACCCCAACCCCCTGCCCTAGCCTGGAGCCTCCTCCTGCACCCAAACTCCCACCCAGAGCCCACAACCCTCATTCACTCCCACACCCCAACCCCCTGCCCCAGTCCTGCACCCCAAACTCCTGCCCCAGGCATAGCCAGGAGCCCCCTCCCACACTCTGAACCCCTCGGTCCCAGCCCAGAGCCCACACCCCTGCCCACACCCCTGCCTGCACCTCAACTCCCTGCCCCAGCCTACTGAAAGTGAGTGAGGGTGGGGGAGAGCGAGCGACGGAGGGAGCGGTGATGGAATGAGCAGAGCGGGGCCTCGGAGAAGGGGAGGGCACGGGGCAGGGCAAGGGTGGTTAGACAGTTGGCATCCCAACGTGTGCTGCTGATCTCCCGTAGGCTTTTTCCTCTACATCAGTACCGGCCCACAGGACCTGAGCAGCGGTGCGGCCAGACTGATTAGTCCAGTTTTCCAAGCAACCAAGACCAGCAGCTGCTCTGTAAGTCACCCCTGGGCTACCCGGCTGTCAGTCTCCTCTTGGCTTTGCCTGGCCAGGGAAGGATGGCTGACATCTTGGGAGTGGCTCCTACGCAGTGTCTAGGGACTGCAGGCAGGGCCCCTCTTTACCCACACGCACCTCACCCTCTGGGGGCTGCTGCTGGGGAGAACCAGCCCTTCAAGGCTTGCTGGAAACCACTGAACTCTAAAGGCGCCACTGGGCTTTGTGTTTGCCCAAGGCAGCTAGGGTGTTTCCATCCAGCTGGTGCTCAGCTCCTGGCAGCTCCCAGCTAAGCAGCAAAGGGAAGGGCTGGGCATGAGCTGCATGAGGTGGGTATTTTATGGGAGCCTCAGCAGATCATTAGGCTTAAAATTCCTAAGCTCTGGATTTCATTGAGTCAAAGAGAGCCCTGGGCACCACCCCATTGGGCAGGAGGGACATTGACCTGCTCACCAGCCAGTCAGGATTCTCCAGCGCTAGGCACGTTCAGGAAGTTTGGGTGCTGATTGGCTGGTGAGGGTTGTGCTGTAGGCTGAACAGCATCTCCTAGGATCTTTCGGTGAGGAGAGCATGGTCCGGAGCCAGGCAGAGCTGCGGGGCACACTCCAGCCAGCACCCAGATAAACCAGGGGCTCTTCTGCAGCTGCCCTGCACTCCTCATGCCACCTCTGCTTTGGGCTTAGTGGCTGAGCCAAAACCATGCTGGAGCCGAGGGCCTCCTTCCTGGCTGGTTGCTCCTGGGCATGCAGGGATTGAGCCTGGCACTGAGTGGCAGGGCTTGACAGAGTTATTATCTGTGTGCTTGTTCCGGGTCCAGCTCGTGTTCTACTCCCACCTCTACGACTCGGCCACCGGCAGCCTCAACATCTACTACCAAACCAACTCCGTCACGCAGCTCATGCACGCGAGGGCTGGGGACCTGGGCGATTACTGGTTCAGGGGGAAAGTGGACTTCAATGTGACCGAGAACTTCCAGGTGGGCAGCAAACCCTTCTGGTGCCACCGTGGGGGCTGGGCCAGCACAGGGCGCCAGGCCCATCTCTTGCCATGGAGCAGCAAGGCAATGTGGGTTTTAAGCCAGGACCCAGTAGGCTCGTGACATGGCACAAAGCCACCCGCTCAGAAGGGGCAAAGGGGAGAATGGGCATGAGCGGCCTCATCCCCTCGGAGCCGCTAGAGGGGTCCCTCCCAGGAAGGGGTGGGGCAGCATGGGGCATGTCCCTGCCCAGGAGATAAGTTTCTTGGGGATCACAGGGGCTTTCAGGCTCCAAGGATGCCAATTCAGCCCTGTTCCCAGCCTGACCCTGCATCCCCATAACCTCATTGCTCATCAACTTCTGAAGTCACACTATGACCGTGCCCCAATGAGCCAGGCCTTGGCCAGCCATGCCCCAGTGCAGGGGGCACAGGACATGGGGAGAGTTCCCACCTGCCATGCTCCACAGCCATGGACAGGACATAGGGTCCCCTGCCGTGCCTCACACACCCCAGCCAGGAAGGCGGATTAAAGAGCTGGACCAGCACTAAGAATTGGGTGCTGCAGCCGAGCTGCCCTAGGGGAATGAATTATACCCTGTACATTGACCCACCCCTCACACCCTCTACCCCCCACTAGGGTGACCAGACAGCAAGAGTGAACAATTGGGATGGGGGTGGGGGGTAATAGGAGCCTATATAAGAAAAAGACCCCAAAATCGGGACTGTCCCTATAAAATTGGGGCATCTGGTCACCCTACCCCCTACGCACTGACACCCTCCACATGTACACACTGACCCACCACCATCACAGCCTAAACACTGACCCACCTCTACCCCCGCTACACACTGACCCACCCTCATCACACAGCCTAAACACTGACCCACCTCCATACCCTACACACTGACCCACCACCATCACACAGCCTAAACACTGACCCACCTCTACCCCCCCTTCACATTGACCCATCAACATCACACAGCCTAAACACTGACCCACCTCTACCCCCCCTACACACTGACCCACCACCATCACACAGCCTAAACACTGACCCACCTCTACCCCCGCTACACACTGACCCACCCTCATCACACAGCCTAAACACTGACCCACCTCCATACCCTACACACTGACCCACCACCATCACACAGCCTAAACACTGACCCACCTCTACCCCCCTTCACATTGACCCATCAACATCACACAGCCTAAACACTGACCCACCTCTCCCCCCTACACACTGACCCACCACCATCACACAGCCTAAACACTGACCCACCTCTACCCCCCTACACACTGACCCACCATCTCCACCCTACACTGACCCCCCCCCCCCCATCCCTCCCCCACCCCCACACCTACCCCCCCTACACATGACCCACCACCATCACACAGCCTAAACACTGACCCACCTCTACCCCCCTACCCTCACCCTAAATTGACCCATAAATCACAAGCCTAAAAACCCACACTGACCCACCCTCATCACACAGCCTAAACACTGACCCACCTCCATACCCTACACACTGACCCACCACCATCACACAGCCTAAACACTGACCCACCTCTACCCCCCCTTCACATTGACCCATCAACATCACACAGCCTAAACACTGACCCACCTCTACCCCCCTACACACTGACCCACCACCATCACACAGCCTAAACACTGACCCACCTCTACCCCCCCCTACCCCCCCTCACACACCTACACTGACCCACCATCGTCACACAGCCTAAACACTGACCCCCTCCATACCCTACACATTGACCCATCAACATCACACAGCCTAAACACTGACCCACCTCTACCCCCCCTTCACATTGACCCATCAACATCACACAGCCTAAACACTGACCCACCTCTACCCCCCCTACACACTGACCCACCATCGTCACACAGCCTAAACACTGACCCCCTCCATACCCTACACACAGACCTACCATCACATACACGTTCAATACACAGACCCACCTCACACCCCCATATGTCCCCCGCACCCACCCACATGCCCTGAAACCATCCCCATCTAAGCCAAGGTTCTCCAGGGAAACGAATCACGCTGGTATCGGTCTTGCATCACAACACACCATTTGCTTTCATTTGCCTATTAGGAGATGGCCCCTCCATCCTCTGTCTCGCAGCCTCTTGCAGTGCCGGCAGATACCCCTGGCTGGGACTCCATGGGGCAGGCCCCATTCCTGTGTGACATCTGGGGTGTCCTGCCTGGGGAGCAGGCGCTAGCCTGCTCCCTCATGTTACCCGCAGTTTGTTCTGTCCCTGCAGATCATTCTTGAGGGCATGATCGGAACAGGACAGAAAGGCACCATGGCCCTGGATGACTTGGTTCTATCCCCAGGCTGCATCCGGGCTGCAGGTGAGCCGCCAGACAGGTCTCTTTGCTCACCCTTTTCCAGCTGCTGGACTGGAGTTTTAACCTCAACTCCCTCTCCACGGGACTAATGGGCAGGGCAAGGTTAGTCCTGTCGCTGATGGCAGCTTCTTCAGGTCAACCTCAGCGCTGTGAGGTCATCCACTCCTGACTCCCTGCTCGCCATGCAGCACAGCATGGCTTAAAACCTATCTGTCTCTCTCTCCAGCTAGCCGTCTGCCTGCCCCTATACAGCCCCTCTATCTATAGCCCCAGACAAAGGCAGAGTAAGATTTCCTGGGGCCCTGGGCCAGAGCAAGTGGGTAGTCCCTCCAGACTCCAGCCACCTGCAGCCCCGCCTCTGTTCCGCCCCTTCTGCCTGTGGCCCCGCCCATAGCCACACCCCTTTCTGCCTCTTCCCCAGGGTCCTCCCCATTCCACCACCCCATTGCAGTCCCACAACCCCTTTTGCACCTTTCTGTTCCCTGCTCCCCCCCCACCCGCCACGTGGCCCCAAGACTGAGGAAGCTCTGTCTTTGCACCATGGCCCGGGGCGCAGCAGGGAGTGAGAGCTCCTCCAGTCCCAGGGTCACAACGGGGATCTGCGTGCTGGGGCTTCCCCCGCTACGCCACGCGCTTCTGTGGGGGACCAGGGTCGGGGCTCGGGGTCTTCTCCTGCTCGGGGGCTTCTGCCAGGGACAGGGTTGTGGGCCTCTGGGGGGAACTTCCCCCCCCCGGGGCTTCTGCTTGGGATGGGGTCAGACTGGGGCTGGGGGGGCCTTCCCCCATCCCGCAGCTTCTGCCAGGGATGGAGTTGTGGGCACTGCTTTTGGGGAGCGGGTGCGGGGCGCAGGGGTGCTGCTGTGGCAGAGCGGGGTCGAGGTGTGGGAGCTTTGCCCCCTCAGCAGCCAGAGCTCCAGGCTTCTGCTGCCCAGTGGCGGATTTTTTCTGGGAGCTCCCCAGGTGGCTGGGGCCCCTGGGCACAGGCCCCATCGGCCCAGTGGCTAATCCACCTGGCCTCAGGTCCCCCTCCCGGGCTCTGCCATGTTTATTCCCTCAGCCAACTTTGTTACAAACCAGGCAAGTGTCCCATCGACACACCCGGAAGCCAGGAAATCCTCCCCCGGCCCTTGTGGCCTACCCCTCCTGCTCCCCCTCCCCCAGCCCCCTCCTCCTCCTACTGCCACATGTGGGAAGCCTTTACAGGTACAGCGACTCCCCAGCTACCCATGGTGTACCAGGCGAGGCAGGCTGGGGAGAGCTGGGATGGGGGTGGGACTGTGGGGTGCGGTTCAGGGGGAGAAGCCCGGGGGAGGCCGGGGGGCTGGCAGGCACACGACTCAAGCCGTGTCCATGAGCCACCTGTGGTCTGGGCCACACTGGCTGGTCACATGGGGCAGGCTCTTCCACGGCTAGCAGTGCATGGCACAGGTGCCTAGTGGGACTTTTCCAGCAGTGTGTCATGAGGGGAGGTGGGGCTGGGCTGGGGAACAGAGGGGAAAGAGACTAGGCCTCTCCTGGAGTGACCCACACTCTGAAGAGCAGAGACCTTCCCCTCCGGTCTCTGCTCTCGGTAACGTTCCAGTGCGGCTTGTGCTAAGGAGACATCTGAGGGGCCTGCAGTGCCCCGGCTGGGTCTGTGTTTGCAGGCAGTTAGCTGAGCACTAGGGCCCAGTACAGCCCCTGCTGCCCCCTGACCTGCTGTCGCTCTCACCCTCTCCAGACAATCCGGTCATCACTCCCACGCCTTCCTCCACTGACCCCACCACGCCCTGCACCCCAGAGGAGTTCACCTGCGACAATAAGAAGTGCATCAGCGCAGAGCTGGCCTGCGACTTTACAGAGACGTGTGAAGACGGCTCCGATGAGAAGTATTGTGGTAAAGGATCACGCAGCAGCTGGCCTGGGTGGGAGAAAGCTCCATGGTGCTGTGATATTAACATGAGGTGCGGGACTGAGAGCACCAGCTAGAGCAGGCAGATTGTGGGCAGGGGCTGGGCACACACATTACCAATGCCGCTGAGTCCTCACCTGTGCCCCGCTGCCATCCCAGCCCTGGGATCCCTGCACACACCACTCTGCCAACGCCCCTGAGTCCTCACCTCCTGCCCTGCTGCCATCCAAGCCTGTTCTACCCTCCCAGCCTCGGATTTCCTCCCTACTCACATCTCTGGATCGTGCAGTGCTTTTGTGCTTCTGAATCTGGTCAGTAAGGACAGTGCTCAGCCCACTCGGCAGACTGGCACTCTGCAGTGACAGCTGGGGCTTTGACACCAGCACTTTGACACTCTGCATTTCCAAACCCTGGCTCCTCGCCTGGCTGGCCAAACCCTAGTGCTGCTGTTTTACACTAAGCAGATGGAAATGCCCAGAAGCCTGCTCAGAATCAGGGCCCCATTGTGCTAGATTCTCTGCAGACACAGAGATAAATTCGATCCAGCCCAGAGAACTGTCAGGCCAGGAACCCTCCCTTTGGAAAGTCACCTGGGCATCACAGGTAGCCACATGAATGCCTATTGGACACGCCTGGGGGCCTAGCTCTGGTCACGTGAGTGAAGCCCAGGTACAAGGAGCGGGCATGCTGCGGCACAGTGGGGGGAGGAGAGGAAACCTCAGCCCAGGGGAGTCAGGCAGGCCCAGGGCACCTACCCAGCAAGGCCATCCAGAGCTCCCCAGGCTCCCTGGGTCCACGGGGCTCAGGGTAATGCGCTGGCTTGTCTAGCCAAGGCCGTAGGGCATGTCTCCAGCTGCCCCGCCGGTGCTGATGGTTGTGGGCACAGATGGCTGCAGCAGCGCGCGCCTTCAGGCCAGGAGCAGGCAGGGCTCTTGGCACCGCCTGGGGAGAGGCTTCGCTCTCCCGGGGGCTGCAGGGGCCCAGGCGAGGCTTGTGAAAACTTGGTGTGTTCCAGGGACATCGACCTTCGAGGCTGGGGCTAGGGGCTGGAAGGACAGCAGTGTGGGCCAGCTGCAGTGGGTGAGGGAGAAAGCCAGCAAGGGCTTACTGCCTGGGGCAGACCACACCACCAACACCTCCACAGGTGAGGCCACCCGCAGGGAGACCCCTGCCCCCTACCCTTCCACCGGTGAGACCCCCACTCCCATCACCCCACAGGGGAGACCTACCTACCCCCTAACCCGCCCTATAGGGGACAGTGGGGGAGGGGAGGGGTGGCAGGCGGCGCCTGGGGGCAGTGGGGGAGGGGAAGGTGGCAGGCGGTGCTTGGGGGCAGTGGGGGAGGGGAGGGCGGGCAGGCGGGGTCTGGGGGCAGTGGGGGGAGGGGTGGGGGAGTGGAGGAGGGGAGGGCGGGCAGGCGGGGTCTGGGGGCAGTGGGGGGAGGGGCCTGGGGGCAGTGGGGGGGGGGGGGGGTGGCAGGCGGGGTCTGGGGGCAGTGGGGGGAGGGGCCTGGGGGCAGTGGAGGAGGGGAGGGCGGGCAGGCGGGGTCTGGGGGCAGTGGGGGGAGGGGCCTGGGGGCAGTGGGGGAGGGGGAGGGCGGGCAGGCGGGGTCTGGGGGCAGTGGGGGAGGGGTGGGGGAGTGGGGGAGGGGGGGGTGGCAGGCGGGGTCTGGGGGCAGTGGGGGGGGGAGGGCGGGCAGGCGGGGTTTGGGGGCAGTGGGGGAGGGGGGAGACGGGGTCTGGGGGAGTGGGGGAGGGACCTGGGGGAGTAGGGGAGGGCGGGAGGGGGTCTGGGGGAGGGGGGAGGGGCGGGGGCAGTGGGGGAGGGGAGGGCGGGCAGGCGGGGTCTGGGGGCAGTGGGGGGGGAGGGCGGGCAGGCGGGGTCTGGGGGCAGTGGGGGGAGGGCCTGGGGGCAGTGGGGGAGGGGAGGGCGGGCAGGCGGGGTCTGGGGGCAGTGGGGGGAGGGGAGGGCGGGCAGACGGGGTCTGGGGGCAGTGGGGGGAGGGGCCTGGGGGCAGTGGGGGAGGGGAGGGGTGGCAGGCGGGGTCTGGGGGCAGTGGGGGGAGGGACCTGGGGGCAGTGGGGGGGGGAGGGCGGGCAGACGGGGTCTGGGGGCAGTGGGGGGAGGGGCCTGGGGGCAGTGGGGGGGGGAGGGGTGGCAGGCGGGGTCTGGGGGCAGTGGGGGAGGGGAGGGCGGGCAGGCGGGGTCTGGGGGCAGTGGGGGAGGGGAGGGCGGGCAGGCGGGGTCTGGGGGCAGTGGGGGAGGGGCCTGGGGGCAGTGGGGGAGGGGAGGGGTGGCAGGCGGGGTCTGGGGGCAGTGGGGGAGGGGCCTGGGGGCAGTGGAGGAGGGGGAGGGGGGCAGGGGGGTCTGGGGGAGTGGGGGAGGGGAGGGAGGAGGCGGGGTTTGGGGGAGTGGGGGAGGGGAGGGGTGGAGGGGGGTCTGGGGGAGTGGGGGAGGGGTGGGGGAGGGGGGAGGGGAGGGGTGGCAGACGGGGTCTGGGGGCAGTGGGGGAGGGGCCTGGGGGCAGTGGGGGAGGGGTGACCATTCCCCTGCTGTGGCCTGTGTTTCCTGCCTAGGGAGTTACCTGGGCGTGGAGTCGGCTCCAGGCCAGATGGTGTCGGTGGCAAGGGCTCGCACCCCCCTTCTGGGCCCCTCGGGCCTGGCCTGCTCCGTGGAGATGCACTGCTGGCTGCACAGCGACCCCCAAGGTACCCGCACTCGCTGCCCCCCAGCCGGGCTGCACTCAGCTCTCCAGCGCAGAGGGGGGGTCCTATGCCCCGTCCCCCACAATATGCCCCGGTGGTAGAACTCCTGGCGGGGCCTTAGGTGCTGACTATGGGCCAACAGGCTCCTCCCGGTGCTGCAGGGGGAGGAGGCAGCCATGTTCTGCCGATTTGCCCCAGGGAAGAGGTTTCTCTGAGCCCCACCTGGAGCCTGGCCCCATCTTCCCATCCCCATCCCCAGGCAGTGCAGACCCAGCCTCCCTGCTGGACGTGACCCCTCCCCGCATCAGAGCGGCAAGGAGTCACCGGAGGGTCCCTGCAGTCCTCCAGCCCTGCCAGGCAATGAGCTTGGCTGCTGACTCGGATCCCGCTGCCTGACACAGCTGCTGGTACTGGGCCCTGCCATGCTGGGTGGGCTCCCAAGGAGGCTGCCGGGCCGGCGGCTAGGGCCAGTGTCTCAGAGCCAGCGGCTGCCCTGCCATCCCCCCTCTCCCTTTGCTAGGGTTCATTGCGCTCGGCATCGTGGATCATGCCCTGGGGACACACAGGCTGGCCTGGCACATGCAGGACAACGGCAGCGCGGAGTGGAAACACGTCACCGTTCCTCTTGGGGAGAGAGCCAGACCCTTCCAGGTGGGCAAAACAGCCTGAAAACACCCATCTTGGGCCTTGTGGGTGCTCCGAGGGCGTCCCCAGCACATGCAGGCAGCTTGGGCACCGTCTTGGGTCAGTGCTGCAGCCCCAAGAACAAAGTACAGAGCCAGGAGCAAACCCCGGAGGTTGCCTGGGGTGAGGGGACCGGCTGGTCGGGGGCCAGGGGTGGAACAGGAGCCCTTCATGTCTCAGTGCTGACTCCAATCTAGCCAGGGAGGCAGTGCCCAGACTCAGCCCCAGCCAATCTCCATCCTGGGGAGACATAGGCAGGGGTCTCAGCAATGATTGGCTTCTTGCTGTCAGCAGCCAAGGGCTGAATGGGCCCCACAGAGGGAGCTCCTCTCTTGCTCCCAGGGGAGGCCCCTGCAGGTTGGTATGTGAGGGGGCCACTGCCCATCCACCACCAGGCTACCACACGGCACCTCTCACCTTTGTGCTGAATTTTCACAGAGACTTCTGGGCCCCTAGTGTCTGGAGGGGACTGTGGGGCCAGGATGGGGGGTGTGTGCAGCCATGGCTCTTACCAGGGCTGCTGTCCCCCTCAGCTGGAGCTGATCGCCCTGGTGAATCTGCGTGGCCCCGTAGTGCAGAGTGCTGCTGTGGACGATGTTGCATTTGTGAACTGCGACCCCCGCTTTACCCCTCCAGATGCCTCAGGTATGTCTCTCCCTGGGGCACCGCAGGGAAACGGGAATCGGACACTTACCAACTTCTGCCACTGGGGTCCTGCTCTGCTGCTGGCCCAGGATGGGTAGACTCACCAGCCCTGACCCATTCATGCTCCAGGGCTTGGTTCCAGACGGTGCCAAGTGTAGGATTTGCTCTTTTTCATGGGTTAGTTACTACCACTGTGTGAAGAGCAGGTTAACAACAGGCTGTGGCTGGAGGTGCCCTACACTGGCATGGTATTGAATTTCGTGCACAGGGACTCCACCATCCTGTATGCTGCCCGTGTTGGGCGCCGAGTTGAGGTGGGTGATGAAGGTGCAGGGCGTCTACGTGCTCATCCAAGAGCCAGTGATCTCTGCCCCCTGCAGCCTCCCTTGCCCTTCTTCCAGGTTTGCTCCTCATCCCCTGGGGACTGTGGGGACAGCCCATGCCAGCAGACAGTAGGGAAGCAGCTGCCACCTGGCTGGCCAGCAGAGCTGTCCTTGCAAAAGGTTGGGGACCAGTGGTATCAATGGGAGTTAGGCACCTAAATAATTTTGAAGATCTAGGCCCAGGAGTATAGTCCCAGCACCAGAACCTCACCCTGTCAGATTCACATTCCTAGTGCCCATGCAGGGGATGATGCTGAGAGTGTCTCCAGAACCACGGGAGCAGAAGGACTGGGAACCCTGGATACCCTTTCTTCTAATCACTGCCCAAGTGGCCTTCCTTCCTGCAGCCACCATGTGCCCTCTGGGCTACTCCCCGCCCTCCAGGGGGTGATCCAGATTCCCCATGCCTGCCAAGTGCTCAAGGCTCCCATCAAAGGGGCAGGGAAGGGCATCAGGAGCCAGCAGGGACTGGAGCTTGCTCTTCTTCTTCCCGGGCAGAGAGAAGGGCATGAGGGATCCACCTCCTTCCATCTGGAGAGCTCAGAGCAAGGAGCTCACCCCAACTCCAGATTGAGAAACTGAGGCACGGGCACATTTAAGTGATTTACCCAGGGTCACACAGTGAAGCAATAGCAGAACTGGGACAGAGCCCAGGAGTCCTGACTCCCAGTTTGCTTGCTCTGACCACTCAACATCACACCCTTTCAGAGTACAGTAGAGAACCTAGGAACAGAATTTCCTGCTCCTTTGCTCTGGCCACTAGACCTAAGAGTTCTTTGAAATTAGTGGGGTTGGGGATGGACTATAGCAGCTGTAACGTGGCTCTGATGTGGGGCTGAGCCAGGAGTGAGGAGTTTGGTTGCAGGATGGCGGCCCCCTGGCCCCTGCCCCAGTGTCTGACTTCATTCACAACTTGGCCTTTCCTCTCTCTGCACAGAGCTGTCTTGCAACTTTGAGATGGGGCTCTGCGGCTGGTACCAGGATCAGAGCGATGATTTTGAGTGGGTGCGAGGCACAGGGCTGGGGCTGGGCTCTGACCACACCACCGGCACAGGTGGGTCCTGCTGGGGAGCCGGAGGGCTTGCCTCAGAAACTCCTTGGCTATGGGGTGTACAGGGCAGGTTAAGCAGCAGGGTTGGGGCCCTCCTCCAGGGCCTACCCTGTAGAGCTGGTCTCAGAGCTGCACTCAGCTGGGGCTCTGGGATCCATTCCAAACTCAGCCCAAAGAAGGCGAGCTGAGGGCCAGGAACTTTAGAAGGCAAAGCTGGGCCCCTAGTTGTGGAGTGCAGGGGGGCATGCCTGGGCTCGGGCCCCAGGCTGGGCTGTGGGACAAGGCAAGGGATCTGGTAGTGAGCAAGCAGAGTTCTTCTGGGAGAGGCTGGGTTTGCTTCTGTCTGCTGCCTTTCCAGCTCTCAGGGGTTGCTGATACACCTGGGCTGGGGTAAGGGCCTGGCCAAGATCTTGGTGAGGCTGGTGTGATGGGGCTTGGCCTGTAGCTGTAGCAAGCTGGGGCTGTGTTTGCAGGGAGGGCTGGGCTCGTGTCTGTAGATACCTGCCTGCCCTTGTTCCTGCTGCTCCAGCTCTCACCGTGGGCTGTGTTTGCTTCTGAAAGGCTATTTCTTGTCCGTGGATCTCTCCGCCCAAAGTACCTGGGCCCTGAGCGCACGTCTCATCACCTACCCCCAGGACCCTCCCACTAGAGAGCAGTGTCTCTCGTTCTGGTACCGCCTGGATGGCCCTCAGAGTGGTAAGTCGCACCCTGCTAGGGCTTCCAGGGCCCATTATCTGTGGGGCAGGAGAAACAGATCCTTCCCCATCTCCTCCAGGAAGGTGCCAGTTGACATGCCTGGCATTGGCATTCAACAGAAGGCACCTCTGGCAAGGACACACCTGGGCACTGCCCAGGAGGCCATGGTGAGGGGTGTGGGTGTGAGCCAAGGCCTGGAGTTGTGTTGCAGAGAGGGACATGTCCCTGCTGTGTGGGTCACCCTGGTGCTCGCCCTTCCGGGGGTGAGGTCCCAACTGTGTGGGTCACGCAGTGCAGGTTGGGAGAGAGAGTTCCCCAGCACGAGGAGCCTCTCTCCCATCCTGGCTCCCTCCCTTTCCTAGTGCCCCCAAAGAAGGACAGACGCCTGCCCTCCCTGCCTCAGCCCTACCAAGACTCCTTCCCACAGGCCCCTTGCTCACTGGCCTGGGGTGGCTGTTTTACAGGGACCCAGCACTTGGGGTGCAAGGCCAGCTTTAGGTCCCGAGAACCACAGGTTCCATTCTCATCTGCTCAGCCCAGCGTCTGCCCCTTCCGGGGCGATGAACTGAGTGCCAGGCATGTTTCTCTTTGGGGACGTAAAACCCAGGCTCCTGTACGCTCTGCCAATGCAGATCCCTGGTCACTTTCCAGCAGAGGCTGCCCCTGTCTGCCGGCGGTCATCTCCCCAGAGCTGGCTGCAGGTCACTGGGGAGGGGGTTCCTGGCTGTGTGACAGGGCCTCAAGGAATGCTCTGTGACTGTCCCCACTTGCTGTTCGCCTGCCCATTCCCATGGGCTCCCTAACCTTCAGTTCCAACCCAGGCACGCTGAACCTAAAGATACAGCACGATGGGGAGCCCGAGACGGTGCTCTGGACCCGAACGGGAGCTCATGGCAGCATGTGGCACCTGGGATTCGCAACACTCAGTTGTCAGGCTCTACAGAGGTACCGGGTAAGGCCCCCGACACAATGCCTCTTCCCTCAGTGCTCAAGGCTCTTCCGTGGCACGTGGGGAGTCACTGCAGAGCCAGGGGTAGGACTCCGGCCTTGCTGGCCCCAGTGCCATGCTGTGATCACTGAGCTGTGCCTGCCCGCATGTTCCTGCACCAGGGACCTTGCTGGCACTCAGTAAGTAATAACAGCGAGTGCCACACTCCTGAGCCCGAGGCTGGGCTGCACGGCCATGCAAGCTCCGTACGGCTTTGTGCTGCTCACCCAGCCACAGGGCACCTGGGCTGCAGCCCTGGCAGCAGCTGCTTCCAGGGGTCACTTGGGCCCAGACCCTCGAGGGTATTTAGGTGTCTACGTGGCCGTTGGGCTCAATACCTCTGAGGACCCTTTATCCTGTCCCAGGCAGGCGTGGCGCTGACATGGCGCCCTCCAGCAGTGAGCATAGGTGACAAAGGGGGCGGTGCTCAGTGCTGTGTGCCTCCCTCCTTGACAGCTGGTCTTCGAGGCTCTCCGGGACGGGTACCTGGGGGACATAGCCCTGGACGATGTCACCGTGCGAGCTGGAGCCTGTGGTCCCCAGGAGTCCTGTTCGTTCGAGGCCAATGCCTGTGGCTTCTCCTCCAGCTGGCAGTACACGTGGGCACGGCAGAGCAACGTCACTGGCACTGCTATGGCTGGCCCTCCCACTGACCACACCGTGGGGACAGCCCGAGGTAATGCAGCCCCTGTGCTCCCGCAGGGCTGCGGGGGCCCGTCTGCCTTCCTTGGGCCTGGCACGCAGCCCCTGCACACTGCCTGCAGCACAGGGCCCTGGCCAGCCACGAGGGTGCCGTGCGGTGCTGGGGACTGTCCTTGTGTGGTTCTGACTGCAGAAGGCAGCTCTCCCACATGCCCATGGGCTGATTGTCAGGCCCAGGGCTGCACCTGGCACGCTGAGCGCTGCGGAAAAGATGGTCCCCCAGAGAGAGACCACGTGCGAGCAGCTGGAATGCTGCAGCATGGGCGCTGCAGGGCAGGGCTGAGGTGGGGACCAGGACACGGGAGGGGGATGGGTGATCAGGGAGCCTGCGTGGCACTGCCAGGTGGGGCTGAGCCAGTCCATTTCCAGGGCACTCCAAGGTGGCCATGCCAATCTCCTGGGTTCCCGGTTCCACTGAGCCAGTGGAAACAGCCGGGGTGCTGTGCTGTGGCTGGCAGGGACCAGCCATACCTCCCCAGCCTGAGGGGTGGGCTAAGGCAGGTGAGGCACCAGATTAAGGGTCTTCTAGGCTTTCGAAAAGGAGACGTGGGGGTTGCTCGGTAGTTGGCACTGCAAGGAGAAGGCAGGCTGGGACTGGAAGGAAAAGGACACTCCAGGGACCCAGGTGGGACCTGGGGCTCCGGGAGGTGCTGAGCATAGAAAGGGGCTGGGAGCAGGGCTGGGGGAGGGGGAGCAGGTGAAGAAGTCCTGAAGGGCAAAGGAAACTTTCTGTTTGGTGGGAATGTTTGAGTTTGGACTCTTGGTTTTCTCCCCCGTCTCCACCCCGGGGTTATGTTTGTTGTAAAATGGCTGGAGGGCTAAGCCATAGCTCCTCCCCAGACTGATGCATGGCAAGCTGAGGGCGCACACCTCGGGAAGAGAAACTGAGGCAGGGAGTGCTGGCAATGCCATGCTGGGCCAACAGGAGGTACAATAGAGTAGCCATGCCCCTGTGACAATCCCACTGTCTTGCACTCTAGGAGGTGCCAGGTCAGGTAACAGGGAGAGCTCTGTCAGCCCGCATGGTCTATGCTGGTTCAGGTGCACTGGAAGATGCAGTTGTTCTCTGGCTTTTCCTTACTGTGGGCCTGCAGCTGGGTCCCTTCTCTGGTTGGTTGGAGGGCTGGCAGGGTCTGCTGTGGGGGGGTCCATGATTGTGCCCTGTGCCCAAAGGTCTGCCCAGGGCTGATGCTGGGGTGTTACCCGCACACTGTAGGGCGCCCACCTTTCCCCAGTTCCTAGGGCTCAAGGCGTAACTCCAGCCTTACCCAGTTCCTAGAGCTCAGGGCCAGTGGCGTATTTACCATGAAACAAACCGTGCAGTGGCTTGGGGCCCCCAACAATGGGGGGCCCCAAAATGCAGGACGAATCTGACAAATGACTGAATTTAATGAAAAGAAAACTGTCCTTAGAGCACCATTTTTTGAGAGTTTCGTGACACATCCTTCTCAGATGTGTCGTGGAAACGAGAGACTTTATATACACACAAGAATATGAAACAATCTCCTCCCACCCCACTGTCCTGCTGGTAATAGCTTATCTAAAGTGATCAACAGGTGGGCCATTTCCAGCACAAATCCAGGTTTTCTCACCCTCCACCCCCCACACAAATTCACTCTCCTGCTGGTGCTAGCCCATCCAAAGTGACAACTCTTTACATAATCAAGTCGGGCTATTTCCTGCATAGATCCAGGTTTTCTCACTTCCCCCCCACCCCCATACACACACAAACTCACTCTCCTGCTGGTAATAGTACACACGGTACACATCTGATGAAGTGAGCTGTGGCTCACGAAAGCTCATGCTCAAATAAATTGGTTAGTCTCTAAGGTGCCACAAGTACTCCTTTTCTTTTTGCGAATACAGACTAACACGGGTGTTCCTCTGAAACCTGAATTTAATGAGTGTTTCAAGTTGTGAAGCGGTCCAGGCTTTCTGCATTCTGAGAACTTATTCTGTGAACTGTGCTCTAAACATGTTTTTTTGAAGTAGTCTATTTGCTTTGCCATTTTTTCTGTGTCTCGGCAATAGCATAACAGCAACTAAGGGAAATCATCATTTGCCAGGCACAGTCTGTCTGCTTGACCAATTATCCAATTGAATAAAAGCACCCTCCCCCACATTGTTTCAGAGCCTGATAAAAACACGGAATTAATGGCGTTAAAGCTAATTAGGTGGTCCATGGCCCACCCAGGCCCACCCGTGGCTACACTGCTGCTCTTTCAGACATTTTTAATCTGCCTAAAATCAAGGTCAATTTTTTAGCAATAATGGAACAACACTGAGTCTGGCAGTCAAAAATGCAAAAAAAATCAAGGCGAGGCAAGAAGACAAAGCGAAGCAAAAAGACAGTTTGTCATCTTATTTTTAAAAGCTTGAAGTATTGAATTGTGGACATTCATCAAAAAGTATGGGCGAGGAAACATCTGAATTATCTGATCACTTCCCGAGTTGTGGGGATACCACAACGACTGCAAAAGTTGAACAAGTGGACTCTGAAGTGACAATGGAACTACAAAATATTGGTAATTTTGTTGAAGTAAGGGAAGAAACCTACCCTGAAGACATTGCATTATGGCCAAAATCTGTTGCATTGGATATGATAGAATATTTCTTAGTAAATGAACCGAAAAACGTAGGTAATATGGAAAATTTGAGAAAAGAGTATGAGATTGCAGGACGAAAGCAATTTAGAGGTCTTCATGAGTCCCATTTTCTGAGGATGAAGAAGAATGGGATGACAGAAATGAGAATTTGGTTGATTGTTTCATAAACCACTAAGGCAGGTTACTGTTATGTTTGCAAATTAATCCCTGACCATAGTAAAGGAAAACAAACATTCGTTGACGGGCACTCTAATTGGAGAAACATTGCAAGACATATCTCTGATCATGAAACTTCCAAAGCTCATATCAACGTTATGTGTAAGTTCGTTCCAAGGTGTAAATTATCTGGAAGAATTGATTCTGTGTTATCAGCTCAGGAGTGAAAAGGAAGTGCTGAGACGTGTTGTTGCCCCGGTCAAACTGCTGTCTTCTTTGGGACTACCTTGAAGAGGACATGATGAGTCATCATTGCCAAATCAAAAAGGTAATTTTTTAACCCGCCTTGAATATCTTAGTGAATTTGATGATTTTCTCAAAGAACATTTGAAAAATTATCAGTATTGTGGTCAGGGAAGATCAACTTTTTAACACACTGAACCTACAATGAATTCATCACTATAATGGCAGAGCAGCTCAGAAACCAATTCACTGATGAAGTAAAGGATGCCAAGTATTATTCTATAATAGTCGATTCAACACCAGATGTGAGTCATGTAGACCAATTAACATTAATTTTAAGAAATGTGACTGGCAATGGTGAAGCTGTAGAGTGATTTCTTTGTTTTGTCCTGCTAAAATCCCACACTTTGAAGGTCTGGAGACAACGGTTTGGAAATCATTGCAAATTTAGGTTTGGACATCAAAAACTGTCATTGGCAGAGCTTTGATAACGCCACAAATGTGGCAGGAAAATGTTCAGGTCTACAGGCAAGACTGAATGATGCAAGCCCCTCTGCTTTATTCATACCATGTTCCAGCCATTCCTTAAATTTAATCTGCAACGCTGCAGCCGAATCTTGTGAAGGAGCTACACATTTTTTGACTTTGTTCAAAACGTGTATGCCTTTTTTTTGGTTTCCACGCACCGGCAGAGTATGCTACAATCACGCTTGGAGCAGGCAAATGAAAAACATTTGACAGTCAAAAGAATTGGTGACACCAGGTGGTCTGCTCATGCAGATGCTGTTTTGGCTTTGAAAATGAGCTATGATGACATAAAGAAAACCTTATTTGACACAGCCACATCAAATTCTGTAAAACCATGTGCGAAAAATGAAGCAAAGTCCTGAGCAGAAAAGTACGATATTGCTGTTTTTACTCTTTTTTGGAACTGTTAACTTCAAAGAATTAATGCCATCAGCAAATCACTACAAAAGATTGATACAAATTTACTGAATGCTGCACAATTGTTAATCTCAGTTAAAAGTTTTGTCATAGAAGTTCAAAATGACTATAGCTCAGTGGAAGCAAGAGACAATGAAATCAATTTAAAAGGGAAAGAGCAGATCATCGTTGAGACAGTCAATGTTATTTGTGACACAATAATAGTGCAGTTGCAGAGTAGAGGTGAATCTCTAAAGAAAACTGTTGCTTTATTTTGCTTGTTTTTTGACAGAAGTACGGATGAAAATGCTAAAAGCCACTACAGTAAGAAATTAAGTGAATTCTACTGAGAGGACATAGACACAAATCTTTTTGAAGACGAAGTGAAACATTTCATTCATTTTAACGAAAATGATGAGGTCTGTGCTTCGAGATCACCAATTGATTTGTATAGATTTATATGTGATGGTTTGCAGGCAACCTTTCCAAATGTAGAAACCATTCTGAAAATATTTTTAACAATACTTGTCCCAAACGCTTCTGGTGAACGTTCTATTTCTGTATTGAAACGAGTTAAAAATTATTTTCAAAATACGAGTCAGGAACATTTGATAAGGTCGACAATATTGACAATTGAAAGTGCCTCTTTACAAAATGTTACTTACGATGACTTAATTGACGATTTTCTAAAAAAAAAGTGGAAAAAGAAAGCTATCTGAATAAATTTTTTTTTCCAAATTGGGTAAGTTTCTTCAGAGGAAGTTAACTTTTATTTTTCCATCATGTGTCATCTGTACTTTTTATTTTTATGCATTTTTCACATTAGTATAATGCAAATACAAGCTTTCATCTAGACCAGAAGTTCTTAAACTGTGGTCTGAGAACTCCATTCAGGTGGACCGAGGAAAGGTTATTAAGTATTTTTATAAAGCGCTCTTATCCAAAGTACTTCACAATAGTTCAACGTTTGGTAAGATCATTAAGTGGTCTGCTGAGTCCCTCAGCAATTTTCAAGTGGTCTGTGAAAAAAAAGTTAGAATTCAAAAACAATCAAGGTACCTCACTTTATTTTATTTATTTTATTTATTTATTGACAAAGCCCTGGCTGGGATGATTTAATTGGGGATGGGTCCTGCTTTTGAGCAGGGGGTTGGACTAGATGACCTCCTGAGGTCCCTTCCAACCCTGATATTCTATGATTCTATGATTTTAATTTACTTCCTATTACTTATAATATAGGAGGAGGATGAAGAAAAAAAGATTGGAAAACTTGGGGGGAGATACGAGAGAATGTTCTCTTACTTAGCTGGGTCCCGAGGGTCAGGCCCCAAAAATGAAGCTGCACACAGGGCCCCACTAAACTCTAAATCTGCCACTGCTCAGGGCATAATCTTGTGTGGGTTTGGGGGGTCTTTTACTAGTGAAAGAGCCTTACACAGTAATATCCTTAACCTCTATTCACAGCTACCAAACAGAACACACACGCTAAGGAGACAATGCTTCCCGTTCCCAAGGAGGCAGAGGAACTTTTCCTGGTGGCCAGGCAGGATCAGGACATCCTGGGCTGTGTCCTGGAGCTGGTTCCAATCCAAAGAATTTCCTTTTGGACTCTCCAGTTTACATAGTTAAACTTGAGTCCTGCTTAGTTGTACCTTAACCAACCATTTTACTAAAGTTTTATAAAATAATTCTTTGACCAGTCCTAACCTATTGTGAAACAATTCTTTACCCAATCATACCCCACCATCTTAGTTGATTTATACCTAGCAAAAATTAGTTATATAACAGACAGAAGCAATCAAAGAACCAGACAGAGACCATTTAGATAAACAATAGATAAGTCTGGGTTTATGTCACTGAGGTCATGGAAATAGGGTGACCAGATGGCAAATGTGAAAAATCGGGACGGGGGTGGGGAGTAATGTGTGCCTATATAAGAAAAAGCCCCAAGTATCGGGACTGTCCCTATAAAGTCGGGACATCTGGTCACCCTGCATGGAAGTGACTTGCAGAGACCTCCCTGACATTCCCTGCTTCAGCCCCTGGGGCTGTGGGACTCCGGAGCTGGGGCCTGGGCAGGGTTCCAGTGACAGGCCACAGCAGCGACAAGGTTCCAGCAACAGGTGACAGACTCCTGAGGGGTCCTCCTCAGACCTCGAGCAGGGGGAGGGGGACGCCTCGGGTGAGCGGCTGGGGGTGTCCCATTTTTTCCTTGGGCAATATGGTCACCCTGCAGCTCCCAGGTGCTGTGGGCAGATAGGGAACCCCCCCAGCCACCGCAGTATGGGGGGAAGGAACCATGGAGCTGCAGCAGCAAAAGTCACAGACAGGTCACAGCTTCCACCCTGAATTTTTGTTTATTGCCTGTGACATGTCCATGACTTTTACTAAAAATAACCATGACACAATCTTAGCCTTAGTAATAGAGAAGTAGGGACCATAAAGGCAAAACAATAAAGAAAAGAGATTTCACCACCCACAACTGCTGATAAGCGATTTCTTGCCAGACAGAAGGCCAGCAAACAAAGTTTTCTTTAAATATCTTAAGAGATTCCTTGCTTATGGGTGATGGTGGTGCTATTGGGACAGGAGCTTTCTTAACAGCCTGATAGCTCATTGGTTTGATGTAATGTAGAGGGAATGTGAGGATGTGACTGTCTGCTTTTAGCTCATGGCTGCTGCCCTCCTAATGTGGCTGCAGAAAAAGGCCTTAGCCCTTATGGGGGAGAGGGGTCTGTAGCTGTTCCCCGTGCCCAGGGGTCTGACTAGGGATGCTGCTGGGGGGATAAGGGAGTCCATGACTATGCTCCAGTCCGTGCCCAGTGGTCTGATCGGGGCTGATGCTGGAGGGTCCATGGCTGTGCCCCGGGCCCAGGGATCTCAGTTCTGGGCCTGGAATGATTAAGTGACTCTCTCTGCCAGGCTGTTGGTTTTTGTTTTCCACAGGATATTACATGATTGTTGATACCAGCAAGGGCTCCCTGCCCCGTGGGCAAGCAGCCACTCTGAGCTCTGGGCAGTACAGGCCCCTGACTCATCCGCAGTGCCTGGGCTTCTGGTACCAGCTGAGCCCCAGTGACCCAGGTGAGCCCGGAAGCCTTTGATCCCCTCGGGCTGGCGGGCGCAGAGATGCTGGGCAGTGGAGTGAGGGGCAAGAGGCTGTGGAGGAAGGCTGTTCTGTGGTTAAAGCCAGGCCTGGGAGTCAGGACTCCTGGGTTCTCGTCTTGGCTCTGCCACACACTTGCTGGGTGAGCCATGGCCCTTCTTGGTGGTTGGTTCCCTCATGGTAAACTGGGCATCCCGACCCCCGCCCGCGACCTCACAGGGAGTGTGAGTAGGAGTGTGGGGACCTCCAACCCAGGAACAAATCCCACTGCCTCCTACTTGTACCCTGGCCCAGGTGCATTTCTCAGGCCCGTGGGTTCTGCCAGCTCCCCGGGAGGCTAGAGTTAGCCAGGTCAAGCCAGGGCTCGAGGCCGGCCAGCCAAGTGTCCTGGCAGTGCCTGGAAACATCTTCCCCATGGAACTGCTAGTGACAGAGCCTGGGGGGGTCTTTCCGTGCCATGTTGTCAGCCCCATTGCACCAGTATGGAAATGGCTAAGGCCCCGCAGTGAGTCAGGACTAGAACTCAGGGGCCCTGACACCCAGTGCCCTGCATGCTGCCTCCATGGTGCTTTGGAGGAAGGTTGAGAGCAGAGCAAGCTCCCGGGAACACCACCAGTGCCATGGGCTTGGCGGTGCCGCTGCTCCAGTGGGTGGCCCTCAGGAGATATCACCATCTCTGTCTTTCGCTAGGTTCCCTGACGGTGGGTGTGAAGGAGAAGGGGGTGCAGCGGAGGCTGTTCAGCGTGAGCTCAGTGCAGGGGGACGCTTGGCGCTACGGTAAAGTGACTGTCCAAGTGGCTGAGGACTGGCAGGTGAGACAGCCAGGGGACCTGGTCCTTGACTGGTGCTCTGATGCGCTACCTATACAGAACAGGGCGATCAGTCAGATCCCAGCCTGAGTCAGAGAGGAGCTCCAGAGCCCTGGCCGCCTGATCCGGGAAGCTGCTCTCTGAGCAGAGATGTGCTCTGAGGGACTTCTCTGGGGCTGAACCCCAGCCCCGGCTACTCCGCTACATGGGTGGAGGCTGGACTGGGCCTGCCAGGCCTGGTGAGGGGGAAGGAAGGTCAAGTCCTCCACTGGAGCTGGGTAGGTTTTACACCATGCGCCTCCCTGTGGCACATGGGCACCGGCCAGCAGGGGGTTGGAAGGCTGGAGCAGACCTGGGCTAGTCCTGGGGCACCATGCTGTCGCTGCATGGCTGAGACTCGGGGGGTCCATCAGGCTCTGGCCCAGCCTGCACAAAGAGGAGGAGCAGAGCAATGCCCTGGGTGGGCCTGGCCCCCACTTCCAGGCTCCATGAGAGCATGCCGAGTCCCAGTGGTGTCCAGTCGGCTCTGGCGGGACCTCCGGCCTGACCCTGGATCTGCTCCCTGCTCTCTTTGGCAGGTCACCTTCGAGGTGGTGAGTGCTGGCGGTGAGCTCTCCTACGTCGCCCTCGATGATTTGCACCTGAAGGCCAGCAGCTGCCCAGAGCCAGGTACGGGGCTGATAGCGCCCAGGGCCCACTAGGCAGGTGCTTCCAGACACAGCTCTTCAGAGCCGGGCAGTCTGGCTGGGGAAGGGGAGGGTGGCCAGTAGGCTGAGCAGGGGGCAGTGAGGGGAGAGCTAGCTGCAGGGGGTGGGTTCAGCGACACGGGAAAAGGGGGGCAGGGCAGGGGAGGGGAGGAGGGATGCCGAGGTGAGGACTGAGAGGGGACAGCTGGCGCAATGTGCCAGCCAGCACCGAGCAGAGTCTGGAGCAGTCCGAGGTCCCTCTTTGGCGCCTGCCTGCGGGACGTCTCTGGGTGGCTTCTCTCTGCAGCTCCTACAGGACCATGGGTAGGGGGGCTGTACCCTAGGACGGGTCCTGGCCAGTTGTGTGTCGGTGTCCAAGTGGAAAGGCCGGGGCAGGTGTGACACATGTACAGGTGGTCAGACAGGAACTGGCCCTACCAATCTCAACATGGCAGCCAAGGCGGGGTTGGGAACCGGCTGCTCAGCCCAGGGGCAGCAGGTTTGTATAATTTTTGGTGGTGCCCAGAACGGGTCCAAGTCCTGTCCCCCCTCCCCCAGCCCCTGTGCCTTGTAAGCCGATATATATTTTTAAAAATACTGTAAAAATGGACTGGAAACAGTAAGCGGTTAACAGTTTCCCTATATTGCACAATTTGGGGGTGTGGCGGGGGATGACGGCTCTGGCTGGGGGTGAGGGCTCTGGGGTGGAGCTGGGAATGAGGGGTTTGGGGTGTGGGAGGGAGCTAGGGTGACCAGATGTCCCGATTTTATAGGGACAGTCCCGATATTTGGGGCTTTGTCTTGTATAGGCACCTATTACCCCCCATCCTCTGTCCCGATTTTTCACACTTGCTATCTGGTCACCTTAGAGGGGGCTCAGGGCTAAGGCAGAGGGTCAGGGTGTGGGGTGAGGGCTGCGGGGTGGGGCCATGGATGAGGGGTTCACTGTGCAGGAGGGGGCTCAGGGCTGGGGATGTATTGTTTCTTGACTTTAGCAAAGCTTTTGACACGGTCTCCCACAGTATTCTTGTCAGCAAGTTAAGGAAGTATGGGCTGGATGAATGCACTACAAGGTGGGTAGAAAGCTGGCTAGATTGTCGGGCTCAACGGGTAGTTATCAATGGCTCCATGTCTAGTTGGCAGCCGGTATCAAGTGGAGTGCCCCAAGGGTCGGTCCTGGGGCCGGTTTTGTTCAATATCTTCATAAATGATCTGGAGGATGGTGTGGATTGCACTCTCAGCAAATTTGCGGATGATACTAAACTGGGAGGAGTGGTAGATACGCTGGAGGGGAGGGATAGGATACAGAAGGACCTAGACAAATTGGAGGATTGGGCCAAAAGAAATCTGATGAGGTTCAATAAGGATAAGTGCAGGGTCCTGCACTTAGGACGGAAGAACCCAATGCACAGCTACAGACTAGGGACCGAATGGCTAGGCAGTAGTTCTGCGGAAAAGGACCTAGGGGTGACAGTGGACGAGAAGCTGGATATGAGTCAGCAGTGTGCCCTTGTTGCCAAGAAGGCCAATGGCATTTTGGGATGTATAAGTAGGGGCATAGCGAGCAGATCGAGGGACGTGATCGTTCCCCTCTATTCGACATTGGTGAGGCCTCATCTGGAGTACTGTGTCCAGTTTTGGGCCCCACACTTCAAGAAGGATGTGGATAAATTGGAGAGAGTCCAGCGAAGGGCAACAAAAATGATTAGGGGTCTGGAACACATGAGTTATGAGGAGAGGCTGAGGGAGCTGGGATTGTTTAGCCTCCAGAAGAGAAGAATGAGGGGGGATTTGATAGCTGCTTTCAACTACCTGAAAGGGGGTTCCAAAGAGGATGGCTCTAGACTGTTCTCAATGGTAGCAGATGACAGAACGAGGAGTAATGGTCTCAAGTTGCAGTGGGGGAGGTTTAGATTGGATATTAGGAAAAACTTTTTCACTAAGAGGGTGGTGAAACACTGGAATGCGTTACCTAGGGAGGTGGTAGAATCTCCTTCCTTAGAGGTTTTTAAGGTCAGGCTTGACAAAGCCCTGGCTGGGATGATTTAACTGGGAATTGGTCCTGCTTCGAGCAGGGGGTTGGACTAGATGACCTTCTGGGGTCCCTTCCAACCCTGATATTCTATGATTCTATGATTCTATGGGGCAGAGGGTTGGGTTGTGGGAGAGGTGAGGGCTCTGGCAGGGGGTGCGGGCTCTGGGGTGGGGCAGGGCTGGGGATGAGGAGTTTGGGGTGCAGACAGGCTGTCCCGAGGCTGGGGCCAGAGAGGAGGACTCCACAGTCCCCCCCATCCCTCTCGGCCGTGGCAGCACGCTCCCCTGGCACCGTTACTGCTCTCTCCGCAGGTCAGCCTCCTGCTGGTGCTGCTCCCTTTTGTAGCCGGCAGTGGCTGTCAAGGGAGCGCAGCGCGGAGCAGCAGGGCAGGCCGGGACGCTCAGGGGAAAGCGTATGGGGGCAGCAGGCAGGGCTGGGGGATGCTCCGGGGGCAAGGTGATGACTGTCCCCGTGGTTAGAGACATGCTGCTGTTATCCTGTGTAGCAGCCCAGGCTCGTAGGGATGGGGCTGCCCCACAGAGGTCTTGCCAAGGGCCTGATCCCGCACTTCTCCCAGTGAGTGCAGGGTGGGCCCAGAGGATGCCCCAGTGGCACCATGAGCCCATGCTCCTGTAATGGGGCAGGGGGTCTCTTGTTGGCAGGTTCCTGTGACTTTGAGTCAGACACTTGTGGCTGGACCAGCCCCTCAGACCACACCCTGGGCAGCTACACCTGGGGCTGGAAAAGCGGGGCCAGCCCGGGCCCGGAGGTGGACCACACGCTGGGCACGACAGCAGGTGAGAGGCACTCTTGGCCAGGTGGGAGCGGAGATGGGGCTGCTTGGGGGAGGCGTCCTGGAGGCGGGGTTCTGACTGCCCTGTGGGGGTGTCCAAGGGACCCACACACTGATGGGCAGGGCTGGGGAGCTGAGCAGGTAGCCCTCACCATGCAGCCTTCCTGGGAGGGGGTGAGCGGCAGAGAAAGGGGGCTGGGGGACTCAGTGTTTGAGCAGGGAGGCTCCTCACTTCAGAACAGTGCCCAGCATGGCCAGGAGTGCCGGGCCAGAGCCTCCGGGGGGGGCTCATTCCTGAGGGCTGGGGTACAGCAGATGTGCTGCACCCTGGAGGAGGGAGGCAGATCCTCTCCTCCGTCCTGGCCCGGCTCAGCTGAACTGGGACCAAGACGTCGCGTGGGACTGAAGCCTGGTCCCTGGGGCTGGGTGGAAGAGACGACGAATGGCTCAGGAACTGGTCAGGAGCTGGCTGAGCTCTGCCCGGCGAGACTTGCGGCTCAGCACGGTGCTCAGTGGCTCTCAGCACCACGCAGGATGTCTGGGTCTTGGCTGGGGGCCCTGGGTTGGTGCTGGCACTGCCGTGTCCCCAGACTGTCTCACTGGCTGTGGGGCGACCCACCCTTTCTCTGTGGCCGGCCGTGGCTGGTGTTGCTGGGAGTGATGGTGCAATGCGTGACCCCAAAGGACCAGAACTGACTCTGTGACAGCCCAGCTCAGAGCTTGGCTTTTGGGTGGTGCCCAGCCACCAGCACTGACCCAGGGCCCCCATCAGGATCACAGGCGCGTGGGGCTTGACCACATTGGGAAATGGTGGGGAAACTGAGCCCCATGAGTTGGCGGGAGCAGAGAGACGCTTCTGAAACTCAGAGGGCCAGAGAGGCTAAGGGGAGGGGATGCCGAGCCCATGGTGCTCTGAGCCGGGCTGGGGGTGGGCAGGCATTGAGCCCATGGTGCTCTGACCCGGGCTGGGGGGGCACCGAGCCCATGGCGCTCTGGCCCAGGCTGGGGGGCACTGAGCCCATGGCGCTCTGACTCAGGCTGTGGGGGGAGCACCGAGCTCATGGGGCTCTGGCCCAGGCTGGGGGGCACCGAGCCCTTCTGTGGATTCTGGTGTCAGGTTCCTAGCTGGGGGGAACCGGGGCCCACTGCGGGGAACATGGAGTGCAACGCCCCCCGTCCATGGGTACCTGGGCAGATCCGCCCCATGTGGGTCTGGCCAGGCTCCCAGCCGGCCAGTTCCCTTTGCATGCTGTGTGGAGCTGTGCAGCTGACAGGCCTGGCGGCCCTGGACTCTGAGACTCTGTTTCTGCCCAGCCCCAGCACGGCTCAGGAAGCAGCAGGGCACAGCCCTGCCCTTCTGCACCAACGTGCCTCCGCCTGGCCCTGCTTGTGGACCCCTTGGGGGCGAGGGGCCTGTGGCTGCCCACTGAGGCAGGGAGTGTCCTGGGAGTGTCCCTCAACAGGCCGGTGAAGCAGAGTGCTGCCTAGGAGTCAACCCGAGGGGTTTGGGCAAGGTCGGACGAGGAGCCCTGGGCCACAGTAGGCAGAAGGGCACAGGGAGATGAGGGGTGGGCAGACCCGACCTGGCCTGCAAAAGGAGGCTGGCCCCTGTACTCCTGCTGCATCTCCCCCACAGGTCACTACGTTTACTTCGATGCCAGCGTGCTGGGGCCTGGGGGGAACGCGGCCCGGCTGCTGAGCGAGCACCTGCCAGCCACCACAGGCGCCTGCCTTCGGTTTTGGTACCACATGGACTTCCCAGAGCACTTCTGTGAGTGACGCCTACTGCCACAAGCCTGGGGCCTTCGCTCCCAGTGCTGGCATGGGGGGCTGGTGTGTGAGAGGCAAAGGGCTGGGGCCAGCTGTGGGCAGGGGCTCCACAGTCATTGTGCTACTCCAGCTGGGGAGAGGCAGAGCAGGGAGTTGGGAGTCCCAAATGGGGCTAAATCCTGGGTGAGGGAATTATCCCAACAGACTGATGAAGCCATGAGCTGATGTCAGTGAAGCTGAGGGCTGGCCAGGCTGTTCTAGGCGCCCTGGGGCACTAATCACGGGGAGGCCCCACCCTGTCAGTAAGAGCAGCTGCACAAGGGCTTAGGGGGCTTGTGGGCAACATGGCCTGCCTAAGCTGGTCTACCTGGGCAGCGGGACTTGTCCCTGCCTGCTATCCTGGCCCAGGGGCTTCACCTGGGCCAGCCAGCTGAGCTGATGCAGTTGGGAATGGCAGCAGAGAGGGTGATGCTGCACAAGTCAGGTGCAGGGGTTGGAGCAGGAAGCCAGAACTCCTGGGTTCTAGTCCCAGCCCTGACACTCACTGGCTGTGGGACCCTGGCAAGTCACTGCCCTCCTTATGCTTCAGTTTCCCTCTCTGGTTCTGGAGAGGGTGCTCAGGTTTACCCTCCAATGTCTGAGCTGCACTGGGCCGTGTGAGTGGTGGGGTTAGTCCAGGCAAAGGCTGAGCTCTGGGCTGCTGTCCCTGGCTGTCTGCATTGACCTCGGCCCCTGCTTCCATCTCTGGCCCAGACAGTGGCGAGCTGAGGGTGAAGCTGTACAGCATGGCGGGGGAACTAACAGTCTGGTGCGCCCAAGGGCACCAGGGCCAAGGCTGGCGGAACACGACCATCTCAGTGCAGAACACTGTGGAGTTCCAGGTAATGGTGGGGGGCATGCCCAGAGGGAGGCAGGGAGCTGTCTGGAGCGAGTTGGCATGGCTCTGCCAGCAGATCTCCCGCCAATGCCCATGCAGTGCTCCCACTGCTGAGTGCCGGAGGGATGCAGAGACGCAGCCGGCAGGGAGGTGGAGCACCAGTGATGGAGGAGTCCACCTGTTAGCTCACCATGGGCAAGTCAGGCAGGTTGAGTGCTGGGGGTTTCCCTGGCCTGCAAGCGGGTGCTAAGCAGGGCAGGTGCAGGGCATCCTTGTTCTGCGAGCGGGCACCCGGGGCGAGCTGAGCGGGGCAGGCGTTGGGCGTCCCTGTTCTGTGAGTGGGCACCCGGGGCGAGCTGAGCGGGGCAGGCGTTGGGCGTCCTTGTTCTGCGAGCGGGCACCCGGGGCGAGCTGAGCGGGGCAGGCGTTGGGCGTCCCTGTTCTGTGAGTGGGCACCCGGGGCGAGCTGAGCGGGGCAGGCGTTGGGCGTCCCTGTTCTGTGAGTGGGCACCCGGGGCGAGCTGAGCGGGGCAGGCGTTGGGCGTCCTTGTTCTGTGAGTGGGCACCCGGGGCGAGCTGAGCGGGGCAGGCGTTGGGCGTCCCTGTTCTGTGAGTGGGCACCCGGGGCGAGCTGAGCGGGGCAGGCGTTGGGCGTCCTTGTTCTGCGAGCGGGCACCCGGGGCGAGCTGAGCGGGGCAGGCGTTGGGCGTCCCTGTTCTGTGAGTGGGCACCCGGGGCGAGCTGAGCGGGGCAGGCGTTGGGCGTCCCTGGCCTGGGGGACCGGGGTGAGCTGAGCGGGGCAGGCGTTGGCGTCCTTGTTCTGTGAGGGGCACCCGGGCGAGCTGAGCGGGGCAGGCGTTGAGTGTCCCTGTTCTGTGAGCGGGCACCCGGGGCGAGCTGAGCGGGGCAGACGTTGGGCGTCCCTGTTCTGTGAGTGGGCACCCGGGGCGAGCTGAGCGGGGCAGGCGTTGGCGTCCCTGGCCTGCGGCGGGCACCGGGGAGCTGGCGGGGCAGGCGTTGGCGTCCCTGTTCTGTGAGTGGGCACCCGGGGTGAGCTAAGCAGGGCAGGTGCAGGGCATCCTTGTTCTGTGAGTGGGCACCCGGGGCGAGCTGAGCGGGGCAGGCGTTGGGCGTCCCTGTTCTGTGAGTGGGCACCCGGGGTGAGCTGAGCGGGGCAGGCGTTGGGCGTCCTTGTTCTGTGAGTGGGCACCCGGGGCGAGCTGAGCGGGGCAGGCGTTGGGCGTCCCTGGCCTGCGAGCGGGCACCCGGGGCGAGCTGAGCGGGGCAGGCGTTGGGCGTCCCTGTTCTGTGAGTGGGCACCCGGGGCGAGCTGAGCGGGGGCAGGCGTTGGGCGTCCCTGTTCTGTGAGTGGGCACCCGGGGCGAGCTGAGCGGGGCAGGCGTTGGGCGTCCCTGTTCTGTGAGTGGGCACCCGGGGCGAGCTGAGCGGGGCAGGCGTTGGGCGTCCCTGTTCTGTGAGCGGGCACCCGGGGCGAGCTGAGCGGGGCAGGCGTTGGGCGTCCCTGTTCTGTGAGCGGGCACCCGGGGCGAGCTGAGCGGGGCAGGCGTTGGGCGTCCCTGTTCTGTGAGCGGGCACCCGGGGCGAGCTGAGCGGGGCAGGCGTTGGGCGTCCCTGTTCTGTGAGTGGGCACCCGGGGCGAGCTGAGCGGGGCAGGCGTTGGGCGTCCCTGTTCTGTGAGTGGGCACCCGGGGCGAGCTGAGCGGGGCAGGCGTTGGGCGTCCCTGTTCTGTGAGTGGGCACCCGGGGCGAGCTGAGCGGGGCAGGCGTTGGGCGTCCCTGTTCTGTGAGTGGGCACCCGGGGCGAGCTGAGCGGGGCAGGCGTTGGGCGTCCCTGTTCTGTGAGCGGGCACCCGGGGCGAGCTGAGCGGGGCAGGCGTTGGGCGTCCCTGTTCTGCGAGCGGGCACCCGGGGCGAGCTGAGCGGGGCAGGCGTTGGGCGTCCCTGTTCTGTGAGCGGGCACCCGGGGCGAGCTGAGCGGGGCAGGCGTTGGGCGTCCCTGTTCTGTGAGCGGGCACCCGGGGTGAGCTGAGCGGGGCAGGCGTTGGGCGTCCCTGTTCTGTGAGTGGGCACCCGGGGTGAGCTGAGCGGGGCAGGCGTTGGGCGTCCCTGTTCTGTGAGTGGGCACCCGGGGCGAGCTGAGCGGGGCAGGCGTTGGGCGTCCCTGTTCTGTGAGTGGGCACCGGGGCGAGCTGAGCGGGGCAGGCGTTGGGCGTCCCTGTTCTGTGAGTGGGCACCCGGGGCGAGCTGAGCGGGGCAGGCGTTGGGCGTCCCTGTTCTGTGAGTGGGCACCCGGGGCGAGCTGAGCGGGGCAGGCGTTGGGCGTCCCTGTTCTGTGAGTGGGCACCCGGGGCGAGCTGAGCGGGGCAGGCGTTGGGCGTCCCTGTTCTGTGAGTGGGCACCCGGGGCGAGCTGAGCGGGGCAGGCGTTGGGCGTCCCTGTTCTGTGAGTGGGCACCCGGGGCGAGCTGAGCGGGGCAGGCGTTGGGCGTCCCTGTTCTGTGAGTGGGCACCCGGGGCGAGCTGAGCGGGGCAGGCGTTGGGCGTCCCTGTTCTGTGAGTGGGCACCCGGGGCGAGCTGAGCGGGGCAGGCGTTGGGCGTCCCTGTTCTGTGAGTGGGCACCCGGGGCGAGCTGAGCGGGGCAGGCGTTGGGCGTCCCTGTTCTGTGAGTGGGCACCCCACCACTGGCCTTTCCCCTTTGAAATGTGGGTAGTGCACTCTGAGCCCAGGCCCAGCCAATCCATGGTGGGGAGTAAGAGCAAATACCACGTTGTGACAGACTTCCCTGGGGTGCAACCTGGAACTGGGACACCGCTGAGCCCTCTGGGCCCCCTCTCACACTGTGAGGCTGTGACAAGCCGCAGTCCTCTCCAGGACTTGCATTCACACAGCCATACACAAACAGGGACACATCCAGCTGCAGTTACATGGAGGCTTCTCTTAGCCACTCATGAACTAACAATAGAGAGGCTCCAGACAGTCCCCATCAGCTCCTCAGCCAGGGACCTCAGAACTGTACTGTCCTGCCCTGGTCAAAAGCTTGACCAGTGTCTGTGGCGGTTCAATGATGAGACAGAACACAGCTTTATGTAAGCAAGCAGGCTGGTCAGCTGAGATGGGCTGTTCTGCCCCCCGCCTTCCACCTTCTCCTTTTATTATATTTCTCCCCCCTAAGCATTACACACTGCTACCGCAAAAAGATACACAAAGGAATGTATGACGTTGATTAATATACTTATTTACCATCCTTTATCTACTACAATCCTGGTTCTCAGGCCTTGAGCCCAGGCTAAGAAAGCTTCCCACAGTTGCTGTCCCAACAATCAAGTTCTCATGGTTCATATCTAGCCCTTGTCCTTGGATAGAGCAATGTGTGCATTGCTTCTACAAAACAGTCAGGGTGTGCCCTGCCTGCTTCCAGGTGGAATAGCTAAACATGAACCCTTCAAGTGTCAGTTTATTATCCAGTCCATCCCCTCCCTCAATGTGGAGAGGACATGCACAGGTTTTTATTAACTGAGCTAAGATTTTTCATGCACTACACTCAAACCACTGTTTTTAGGTAAAATATAAAACAGATTTATTAACTGCAGATAGATAGATTTTAAGTGATTATAGTAATAACGTACAGATCAAAGTTGGTTACCTAAGAAATAAACAAAATCCCCCAATCTTTCCCCAGTCTTCCATACATAGGCTGGGCTTCCTTCTTTCCCTCCTGGGACCCCTCCCCACTTCAGTCCTTTGCTTTCCAGATGTCTTTTCAGGTGTTGAGTTGTGGGAGGAGTGAGGCCAAATGGTGATGTCATTTTCCCCTTTTATAATTTCTTCCACGTGGAGGGAACTTCTTTGTTCCAAACAAAGTCCCCAGTATAGTTTGTGGAAAACTACAGGCACAAGATGGAGTCCAGCATCATATGATCTAGTCACATGCCCTTGCATGCTTCAAGGAGTCATGGCAGGGGCCATTACCCCTATTCTGGCTAGAAAGTTCACAGGAAAGACCCTTAGGTGAGGCTGCCCATTGTTTTCACTGATGGGCCATTACCTTGAGTAGTTCATTCACAACATGCTGGCTAGGCTGGATGTAAGCTGACTTGTGGGAGTTATCCAGGAGCAAATACATTTGAGACTCAGGTGCATAGTCAATGTTCATAACTCCAGATACAAAACTGATACCTGCACACAAATAGGATCATCATATTCAGCAAATGTAACTTTTCCATTGACACCTCCCATGACAGGTTTTGTAGAAGATGCATCATAATTATACCATAAGCATATCCCTGTGGTGAATATGGGGCACAGAGTGTCACACACGTGTCTGCGCGTTTGTGACGTAGGGGCCCTGGGGCTGTTGGATGCTGCCCATGCAGCTGGTTGGCAGCACCAGCTCAGATGCCCCAGTGAAAATAACCCAATGGACCCAACCTGCCCCCCACCCTGAGCAGGTTGGGTTCAGTTCCTTGCCAAGACTGTTTGTCTTTAGCCCCAGTCACAAGGTGCCATTGGCTTGGGGGGCAGTGGGCTCTCTCCAACCTGCAGTCAGGCCTTTGACTCCCCCCTTCCCTGCTCTTCTGGCTGGGTGCCGCCCCAGCATCCCTTCCTCTGGAGTGCCCGCCAGTGCTGGGGGCTGAGCAGCGAGGGTAGCACCTCCCTGCAGGCATCATTCTGGCTCCTTGCCAGAGCTGGGACACCTGTTCTCCCATCCGCCTTCCCTGGGTATTGAGCTTGGCTGTGCTGGGGCTCAGGCAGGATTCCCGCTCACCCTGCAGATTGTCTTTGAAGTGACCAATGGTGTGTGGCCTGCCGGGGGGACCATCGCCCTGGACGATATCATGTACCATGCTGGAGAGGGCTGTAATGGAGACGGTTTGGGCCAGATGGAAGGTGAGGTCGATTCCAACCAAGCCAGAGGTCAGAGCAGCTGTGCCTTTAGCAAGGCATAACTGCAGAGCACCCCCATTCCCCACTTATCTGTGAGCCCCATGGCACAGCCCCCTTTGCACAGGGCAGGGTGTGGCAGGGAGCTGTGGTAGAGAAATGAGTCACCCGACTCTGTACAGGGAATTAGAGGTGGCACTGGGCATAGGACCCAGGAGTCCTGACTCCCTGCCCCTTTGCCTTCAGCACAAGAACATCCCTTTCCTCTTCTGCTTGTATGCTGGCCCGCCTGGAGCTCTCGCCCTCTGCCCGCAGGGGTGGGCTACTCTCTCCTGCTGCAGCCTGCCCCCTTCCTGACACCTCTGGGGAAGGCCATGTGGAGAGAGAGAGTGCTGGGGGCTGGAAGTGGAGAGACTGAATGCTCTTCTGGGCCTGCTCTGCCAATGCTGGCAGGGACCCAGTAGGGGAAGTGGGGCTCCCTGGGCAGTCAGGGAGGGGGACACGCACACTGGTGCTGGTCTTCTGGGTGAGCTGGAAAAGCAAGGCCAGCAGCCAGGGGAGAACAGGAAATGCTACCTGCTCCATAGGTAGGGGAGGAGGGCCCTGGGCTGGAGCTAGTTCCTGCTCCCCATGAGGGCCCCTCAGGAGCAGGCCTGTGGGTGAGGACACTGTTGGGGAACCTGAAGGGTTAATGCAAGCAGTGATAGTTACTACTACCTTAGGCCACTCCTCTACCCTTGTGCTCTCAGGAGAGCTCCTAGTCAGGCAGTGCTGGGGCTTAGTCGTGTGCTAGGCAGATGCATGCCCTGCCAGGTGCTAGAAAGGGTTGGGAGATGAGTAGCATGGACCACATATTGCAGATTGAGCCCCTGAAGCCAGGTGCTGGGGCCTAGCTGAGACCTGACCTAGCTCACATCACTGGTGGCGATGGTGCAGGGTCCTGGCATAGCAGTCATCTTCCATTGTGCTCAGCACTTGCTTCTGATTGCAGATGGGAAACCTGCCAAGGGCTCTGTGGCAGCAATGGTGATTGGCATTCTCCTGGCCACTGTATTCCTGCTCCTAATAACTTTGAGCATATGCTATTGGCTGAAGAGGAGGCTGTCAGCAGGCAGGAGGCCAGAGGAGAGAGCCACCAGCCAAGGCTTTGACAACATCACTTTTAGAGATGTAAGGAACTGCAGCTCACTCTGCCTGGGCTTGGGGGGTGGGAGTTAGACTAGGGGCTTTGCTTATTTGTCCAGCTGCTGTCTTCAGAGCTTGAGCATCAGAGTCAAAAATGACTGAATAGGAGGGTGACGGGGAAGACAGAAAATATGAATGACTGACCACTGCCAGTCTAAGTCCCTCTCCCCCCTCTCCGACAATGCCAGCTCCCACAGCCCTATACGTACACTCACCCTTTCTTTGGCCTTTTTTATCCCTGCAGGACTAAAAACTGCTTGTGCTGCGAGTTCACCAGCATCACGATTTGTACTCCTGAGGGCATTCTGCACCCAAAACATTAAAAATTCTGTGCACAATATTTTAAAATTCTGCAAATTTTATTTGTCAAATAAATGTGGGATAGACTCAGTGGTGAACCTGCATCCAACCCTGACACAGCACAAGGACTGGGCCTGTCCCAGAAACACCCCAGGGCCCTGCCCATCTGTGCCAAGTTCACCAGGTGTGGGCAGGCAGGCTCAGCAATGCAGGATCCAAGTGTAGGGCAATCTGAGGGGGAGCTCGGGGGGAGAGAATCTGGATGCACAGGGTCTTGTTGAGGGGTTCTGGGTGCAATGATAATGGGACTTTGCAGGGGGGTCCAGGTAAAGTTGGTTGGGGTTCAGAGGGGGAGGTCTGGACATGGGGTGGGGGGGAATAGAGATTGGCAGCGGGGGGTCTCAGTGTGGGGGCCTTAGTGTATGTGTGGGGGGGAAGTGTATCCATGTGCAGCTGGTTGGGACTCGGTAGGGTGGGGATCCGGGTGCAGGTGGCTTGTCAGGGTGGTCCAGGTACAAGGAGAGTGGGATTCGTCAGGGGTAGTTCTGGGTGCAGGGTGAGGCTCATCAGGAGGGTCTGGGTATGAGGGGAGTCTGGTTGCACCAGGGTTAGGTGGATGGGGGGAGCAGTTCCCTGTACAGTGATTTCTCCCTCCTGCAGCTGAGGAGTGATGGGTGTAGGAAGCAAGGGGGGGGGGCACGGAGGAGAGAGTATTCAAAGCTTTCTACAGCCAGGGAAGAAATCTGGGGGGGGTCTGATCCAACCCCGGATGCCGCGCAGGGGAAGAGGAAGTCCCGTCCTCCCCAGCCCAGCTGGGACGAGCACCTGAGCCTGGTACAGGGTAGAAGCCACAAGTCAGGTCTTCTCCAGGCCCGGCCCCTGCCCCAGAGTGATTTGCCTCTCTGCTAACTGCCCTGGACACCTGAAACATACTGCTGGCAAAGGTTGTATGACCGCTCTTGTGGCTTCCCTCTACTTCCCTATCAGAAAGTCATTTTTCTGTAGGGAAGCTAAGAAATCTGCAGGGGACATAAATTCTGTACATGTGCATTGGTGCAGAATTCCCCAAGGAGTAACGTTGTGTAGCTTATCAGCTTTGGCCCTGTGCAGCAATACAGCAGCCGACAAACACGGCGGAAGATTGCACAAGACCCCACCCTGACTGCTGGCCACAGGGCAGCTGTGAACTCCTCAAACCCTCCTTTTTAGAGTAGAGCAGGAGGTGGTAGTGGACACCGCAACCATCGGTGCTGCTTGATGTTCTTCACCCCCATAGTACGAGGGGTACCGAAGCAGAGGCTGGCTCTTCCCTTTTCCTCCCCTCCTTGAGCTGGTTGGGAGGGAATAGTCATACACGTCAATAGATTGGTTGTAATTAGCTTAGGCCCAATTCCTGTTCACCTTTAATTCCAGGACAGGGTCACTATAACTCCACTACCTGCGGATGGGGAAGCAGAACCAGATATGAGCCTCCCACAGTAGGCAGCTGTTCGTACTGTAGCTGCACATACAGAATGAAAGGTGTGTTCTGCAAGGCTTCACACTCCTCCGGCAACACTGGGCTCAACTTTCAGTTCCAAGGCTACTCTTGAAACGCTTTTGGCCACTGACTAAAATGGAAGCTTTAGCTGAGACAAACAAGGTCAGCTGGAGGGAGGAATACAAGCCCCTTTTTGAACAGATCCTGTATCACTGAACTTCCTGGAACACATTCAAGAGAGTCCATCAGTGCTGTCATATTCTTGCAGTTTCCCCATATAGTATTGCCTTTTCCATATGAAGATCAAGATTACTGCAAGATTATTTGATTTTATCTAAAATAAAATGAATTCTATAAAAGTCGGATTTCTGAAGACTGTGTAACTTAGTCTGTGTTTCAGTCCGTTCCGCATAATTGTCTGTGGTCACAGATTTTAGTTGCAGCACTGCCTCCAAATACAACCCAGCTAAGCGGGTATACTCAGAGGTCCGAATGTGTAGAATCTTGAATGTCTCCATTAACTATTTAAACCCATAAGTACTGCAGCATCTTGACCATTGTAGCAATACAGGAGTCCAAGTGCAAAATCCTTTGTGTTTCTCTAGCCAAGCAGCACTGTCAGAAGACAGAAATTCTCCAAGACCAGCAGATCCAGAAGGCTTTCATGAAGGCTCTGCATATAGCTTGAGCAAAGCTGTAGCAATGTCTTCCTTGTAACCATTTGCAACTTCAGTGTTGTGGCCCTCATACAAATAACTCAGGAGGAATCGTTTGCACTTAGTCATCTTCTCCTGATCCTCTTAGGCCAGCTGGTTTAAATCAGCATAATTGTAAAGAGGTGGATGAGCCGTATGAACGAAGAGGAAGTAGGCAAAAGGATGGGGTAGAGAGCGATCAGCTCCTGGACATCAAGTTGGTCGCTTCTGAAGAGTTCTTTTGCTTCTAGGAACTGAAGCTGTGCAAAGTATATAAAACCTGCTTGCTGCAAGATTCGTTTGTACATTACCTGAAATTTCTCTTTTGGAATGTTCATAGAAGATTAGGGTTGGAAGAGATCTCGGGAGGTCATCTAGTGCAACCCCCTGCTCAAGGCAGGACCAACACCAACTAAATCATCCCAGCCAGGGCTTTGTCAAGTCAGGCCTTAGAAAAACTTTTAAGGATGGAGATTCCACCACTCCCTGGGTAACCCATTCCAGTGCTTCACCACCCTCCTCGTGAAAAAGCTTTTCCTAATATCCAACCTAAACCTCCCCCACTGCAACTTGAACATTGCTCCTTGTTCTGTCATTTGCCACCACTGAGAACAGCCGAGCTCCATCCTCATTGGAACCCCCCTTCACGTAGTTGAAGGATGCTATCAAATCTCCCCTCACTCTTCTCTTCCGCAAACTAAAGCAGCCCAGTTCCCTCAGCCTCTCCTCATAAGTCACGTGCCCCAGACCCCTAATTGTTTTCATTGCCTCTCCAATTTGTCTACATCATTTCCTGTAGCGGGGGTCCCAAAAATGGACGCAATACTCCAGATGTGGCCTCACCAGTGCTGAATACAGCAAAATAATCACTTCCCTCGAGCTGCTGGCCATGCTCCTACTAATGCAGCCCAATATGCCAGTAGCCTTCTTAGCAACAAGGGCACACTGCTGACTCATATCCAGCTTCTCATCCACTGTAATCCCCAGGTCCTTTTCTGCAGAACTGCCGCTTAGCCAGTTGGTCCCCAGCCTGTAGCAGTACATGGGATTCTTCCATCTTAAGTGCAAGACTCTGCACTTGTCCTCATTGAACCTCATCAGATTCTTTTAGCCCAATCCTCCAATTTGTCTAGGTCATGCTGGACCCTATCCCTACCCTCCAGCATATCTACCTCTCCTCCCAGCTTAGTGTCATCTGCAAATTTATGGAGGGTGCAATCCATCCCACCATCCAGATCATTAATGAAGATGTTGAACACCACCAGCCCCAGGACCGACCCCTGGGGCACTCTGCTTGATACCGGCTGCCAACTAAACATTGAGCCGTTGATCACTACCCATTGAGCCCAGTGATCTAGTCAGCTTTCATCCAATACATACTTTTTTAATTTGCTGGGGGGAGGGATAGCTCAGTGGTTTGAGCATTGGCCTGCTAAACCCAGGGTTGTGAGTTCAATCCTTGAGGGGGCCATTTAGGGATCTGGGGCAAAAATTGGGGATTGGTCCTGCTTTGAGCAGGGGGTAGGACTAGATGACCTCCTGAGGTCCCTTCCAACCCTGATATTCTATGAAAGAATACTGTGGGAGATATATTGACTTTAGCAAAGCTTTTGATACTATCACATCCACCGCTTTCCCCATATCCACAGAGCCAATTATAGAAGGCAATCAGGTTGGTCAGGCATGACTTGCCCTTGGTGAATCCATGTTGACTTCCTATCCTCCAAGTTCTTCAAAATGGATTCCCTGAGGACCTGCTGCATGATTTTTCCAGGGACTCAGGTGATGCTGACTGGTCTGTAGTTCTCTGCATTCTCCTTCTTCCCTTTTTAAAAGATGGGCACTATATTTGCCTTTTTCCAATTGTCTTCAGCTTTTTCCAATTGTCTGGGACCTCCTCCGATCGCCATGAGTTTTCAGAAATAAAGACCAATGGCTCTGCAATCACATCCGCCAACTCCCTCAGCACCCTCATATGCATTGCATCTAGCCCCATGGACTTGTTCATGTCCAGCTTTCCTAAATAGTCCTTAACCTGTTCTTTCACCACTGAGGGCTGCTCACCTCCTCCCCATACTGTGCAACCCAGTGCAGCAGGCTGGGAGCTGACCTGGTCTGTGAAGACTGAGGCAAAAACAAAAGCATGGAGTACTTCAGCTTTTTCCACATCATCTGTCACTAGGATGCTGTGACAAAGTGGGACTGTTCTTAATGTTTCCTCTGAATAGTGTGGGGGTGCCTCAGTTTCCCCTAGGCAGTTCTTAAGTATCTAGGGGGTGGGGTAAGGGTGTATGATCATTGCAGAGCCCTAGAGGGCAGGTGTGTGCAGGGGTCTGGACACAGAGAATGGCCAACTCCCTGTTTCCTGGCAACTGATGGCCTGGGCCCTTCCCCCCTGCAAGGTGAGAGCTAAAGGGTTGGAGAACAAAGGAATCAGGTGACCACCTGGCCCGGGAAAGGAACAAAGCCCAGAGGAGGAGGGGCTGGAGGGGGTTTTCAGTTTGGGGCTGGCTGGGACATGGAGTGAAGTGCAGACGTGGTTGTCTGGCTCACTGCCCCCCAGAATGGACCCAGCTGAGGGGTCCCGTTCTCTGCACCTGCAAGCTCTGTTTTAGACCATGTTCCTGTAGTCTAATAAACCTTCTGTTTTACTGGCTGGCTGAGAGTCACGTCTGACTGCGAAGTTGGGGTGCAGGACCCTCTGGCTTCCCCAGGAGCACCGCCTGAGCGGACTCGCTGTGGGAAGCACACGGAGAGGCAGAGGATGCTGAATGCTCCGAGGTCAGACCCAGGAAGGTGGAAGCTGTGTGAGCTGTGTGTCCTGAAGACAGGCTGCTCACAGAAAGGCGACTACCCCAGAGTCCTGACTGACTTCATGGGGAGCAGTTCCAGAGCATCACCCAGGGACTCCGTGACAACTGGTGGCAGAGGTGGGATGTACTGCACCCCGTGGATGGCGCTTCCTGCAGTAAGTGACTGGGGAGCAGTAACACGAAGGGGGATTGCCGAGGACCAGGCCTGCTGAAGGCTCAGAAAGGAGCGGTTTCGGGGGGCGGTTAACCCCTGGGAGTGTGTGACCAGCGAGAAGGACTGTGCAGTAATGGGGTCCCCCTGGGGACTGCAGTGAGCAGTCTTAGGGGCGGAGGAGTCTGCAGCTCGACCCTGGCAAAGAGGTGGTGACCTGGAGAAGGGCTGGCACACTAGGGGTTCTCCCTGGAAACCGTGGGGAGCTGAGAACACACGGGCCTGTGAGTCCACAACAACTTGGGAGGAGCGGAGTGATGGCCTGTCACCGTCTCCTTAAGAAGGACATTGTCACCCTGTGCAAAAAGAGAGGGTTGAGCGTTGGAAAGTTCACCAAAGCAGAGTTAATCGTGCAGCTGGAGGAGGATGACCGCTCTAAGGAACAGATTCCTGACCCCAACTGGGGCTATAGCAGGATCTGGGAGCAGCTGGAGCGGGAGCCAGGCATCGCCAAGACTCCTGTCCCCGACAAGACGAGGGTCTTCACGATCGGGTTCCCCATCGGGGGATCGAGACGGACGGGATTGGAGCTGAGTCTGAGAGAGCAAGAGGACCCTGGGAGACAGCGAGAGCCCGAGAAAGAGCTGCAGAAGCAGCAGCAGCATGAACTGGCGGTGGTGGGGCGGAGAGGCCTAGGGGACCTCCCAGGGGTGAGTGGGGATAGATCCCGGGGGGCCAGTTCCGCAGGGAACCTCGAGACTAAATTGCTGCCCCTGGTTAAGGAGGGGGGTGTGGATGCCCACCTCACTGCCTTTGAGCAGGCTGACGATTTGAACCAGGGGGACCCTGCGGAAAAGCCCCGGTGTCTAGCTCCCTTGCTGGGTCCCAAGGCCATAGACTCCGTCAGCCAGATGGTTGGGGATGTGGACAGGCTCCCACTCCTGACCCCAACCTATATGTCTGTGTGGAGTTTCCTGGGGCCAGGCCCCTCGGACCTCCAGTGGGAGCAGAAGGTGATGGTCAATGGGGAGACATTCTTGGGGTGGCCAAAGGGCATGGGCTGCATAAACCTTCCCACATGCGGCCTGCGAGTGCTATCGACCACCCCTGACCTAAGGGAGGGTGTGAAAATGGAAGGGCCTGGTGTAACTCCTACCAAGGAATGGGAGAGATGCTGGGGCATCCATGGGAACGTTGGTGGCTTCGAACTTCCCCAGGTCACCGGCTAAAGTGACCCCGCTCAGTTCGATCTCGAAGGGGGGAGAGATGTGACAAAGTGGGACTGTTCTTAATGTTTCCTCTGAATAGTGTGGGGGTGCCTCAGTTTCCCCTAGGCAGTTCTTAAGTATCTAGGGGGTGGGGTAAGGGTGTATGATCATTGCAGAGCCCTAGAGGGCAGGTGTGTGCAGGGGTCTGGACACAGAGAATGGCCAACTCCCTGTTTCCTGGCAACTGATGGCCTGGGCCCTTCCCCCCTGCAAGGTGAGAGCTAAAGGGTTGGAGAACAAAGGAATCAGGTGACCACCTGGCCCGGGAAAGGAACAAAGCCCAGAGGAGGAGGGGCTGGAGGGGGTTTTCAGTTTGGGGCTGGCTGGGACATGGAGTGAAGTGCAGACGTGGTTGTCTGGCTCACTGCCCCCCAGAATGGACCCAGCTGAGGGGGTCCCGTTCTCTGCACCTGCAAGCTCTGTTTTAGACCATGTTCCTGTAGTCTAATAAACCTTCTGTTTTACTGGCTGGCTGAGAGTTACGTCTGACTGCGAAGTTGGGGTGCAGGGCCCTCTGGCTTCCCCAGGAGCACCGCCTGAGCGGACTCGCTGTGGGAAGCGCACGGAGAGGCAGAGGATGCTGAATGCTCCGAGGTCAGACCCAGGAAGGTGGAAGCTGTGTGAGCTGTGTGTCCTGAAGACAGGCTGCTCACAGAAAGGCGACTACCCCAGAGTCCTGACTGACTTCATGGGGAGCAGTTCCAGAGCATCGCCCAGGGACTCCGTGACAGATGCCTCCCCCATTCAGTAAGGGTCCCACAATTTCCCTGACCACCTTCTTGTTGCTAACATACTTGTAGAAACCCTTCTTGTTAAGAGTAACATCTCTTGCTAGCTGCAACTCCAATTGTGCTGCATGCTTGAGCAATATTTTTATACTCCTCCCTAGTCACCTGTCCAAGTTTCCACTTCTTGTAAGCTTCCTTTGTGTTTAAGCTCACTGAAGCTTTCTCTGTTAAGCCAAACTGGTTGCTTGCCATATTTGCTATTCTTTCTGCACATCAGGTTGGTTTGTTCCTGCACCCCCAATAAGGCTTCTTTAAAATACAGCCAGCTCTCCTGGACTCCTTTCCCCCTGATATTAGCTTCCCAGGGGATCCTGCCCATCAGTTCCCTGAGGGACTCAAAGTCTGCTTTTCTGAAGTCCAGGGTCTGTATTCTGCTGCTTTCCTTTCTTCCTTGTGTCAGGATCCTGAACTCTACTATCTCATGAAGAAAAGGAGTACTTGTGGCACCTTAGAGACTAACCAATTTATTTGAGCATGAGCTTTCAAAGCTCATGCTCAAATAAATTGGTTAGTCTCTAAGGTGCCACAAGTACTCCTTTTCTTTTTGCGAATACAGACTAACACAGCTGTTCCTCTGATACTATCTCATGGTAACTACTGCCAGATTTGCCACCCACTTCTACTTCTCCTACCAATTCTTCCCAGTTTGTGAGGAGCAGGTCAAGAGGCGCACGGCCCCTAGTCGGTTCCTCCAGCACTTTCCAAAAACTTCCTGGATTGTCTGTGCATGGCTGTTGCTGCGCTGGGCAACACAACATGGGGAGTAGGTGGCCAGCCCTCTGTAGAGAAAGAGGTGGTTAGGGACTATTTAGAAAAGCTGGACGTGCACAAGTCCATGGGGCCGGATGCGTTGCATCCGAGAATGCTAAAGGAATTGGCAGCTGTGATTGCAGAGCCATTGGCCATTATCTTTGAAAACTCGTGGCAAACGGAGGAAGTCCCAGATGACTGGAAAAAGGCTAATGTAGTGCCAATCTTTAAAAAAGGGAAGGAGGAGGATCCTGGGAACTATAGGCCAGTCAGCCTCACCTCAGTCCCTTGAGCAGGTCCTCAAGGAATCAATTCTGAAGCACTTACACGAGAGGAAAGTGATCAGGAACAGTCAGCATAGATTCACCAAGGGAAAGTCATGCCTGACTAATCTAATCGCCTTCTATGATGAGATTACTGGTTCTGTGGATGAAGGGAAAGCAGTGGATGTATTGTTTCTTGACTTTAGCAAAGCTTTTGACACGGTCTCCCACAGTATTCTTGTCAGCAAGTTAAAGAAGCATGGGCTGGATGAATGCACTATAAGGTGGGTAGAAAGTTGGCTAGATTGTTGGGCTCAACGGGTAGTGATCAACGGCTCCATGTCTAGTTGGCAGCCGGTATCAAGCAGAGTGCCCCAAGAGTCGGTCCTGGGGCTGGTTTTGTTCAATATCTTCATAAATGATCTGGACGATGGTGTGGATTGCACTCTCAGCAAATTTGCAGATGATACTAAACTAGGAGGAGTGGTAGATACAGTGGCAGGTAGGGATAGGATACAGAGGGACCTAGACAAATTGGAGGATTGGGCCAAAAGAAATCTGATGAGGTTCAACAAAGATAAGTGCAGGGTCCTGCACTTAGGACGGAAGAATCCAATGCACCGCTACGGACTAGGGACCGAATGGCTAGGCAGCAGTTCTGCGGAAAAGGACCTAGGGGTGACAGTGGACGAGAAGCTGGATATGAGTCAACAGTGTGCCCTTGTTGCCAAGAAGGCCAATGGCATTTTGGGATGTATAAGTAGGGGCATAGCCAGCAGATTGAGGGACATGATCATTCCCCTCTATTCGACATTGGTGAGGCCTCATCTGGAGTAGTATGTCCAGTTTTGGGCCCCACACTACAAGAAGGGTCTGGATAAATTGGAGAGAGTCCAGCGAAGGGCAACAAAAATGATTAGGGGTCTGGAACACATGACTTTGAGGAGAGGCTGAGGGAACTGGGATTGTTTAGTCTACAGAAGAGAAGAATGAGGGGGGATTTGATAGCTGCTTTCAACTACCTGAAAGGGCATTCCAAAGAGGATGGTTCTAGACTATTCTCAGTGGTAGAAGATGACAGGACAAGGAGTAATGGTCTCAAGTTGCAGTGGGGGAGGTTTAGGTTCGATATTAGGAAAAACTTTTTCACTAGGAGGGTGGTGAAACACTGGAATGCGTTACCTAGGGAGGTGGTGGAATCTGCTTCCTTAGAAGTTTTTAAGGTGAGGCTTGACAAAGCCCTGGCTTGATGATTTAGTTGACATGAAGGGACATGAAGGTCCCTTCCAACCCTGATATGCTATTGCTCTCCCAGCAGATATCAGGGTGATTGAAGTCTCCCAAGAGAACCAGGGCCTGTGATCTGAAAACATGTTAGCATTTTTCTCTCAGTTTCCATGATTGATAGAAATGGTTATTTTGGGAGGGTGAGGTGTAAGTGGCATGTAATGATAATCTAATCCTTCCAAGACTAATCATGGGTAATTGCATTAAAGCAGCTATGAGCACTTAAGAATTACTTCCCCTCCAAGGAGCAGGGTAGAAATAGCCCTGTTTTGTAGCAATCTGGTACTGTTATTTTACAATAAGTACAGCTATGTACTTATTGTAAACCAATTTCCCCCTTTACAATCTCAGAAGCCATTTGACTAAAATCCTAATCTGACCCTTTATTAATCTTGTAAACACTATACAACCTTCAATATGTCAGGAGTTACCTTCAAATAAAAAGAAGTGCTTGAGTGCTGGTGACCAGAAACTCCTTAAGTCCAAAGACCGGCTTGGGGGGAGGGATAGCTCAGTGGTTTGAGCATTGGCCCGCTAAACCCAGAGTTCCGTGTTCAATCCTTGAGGGGGCCATTTAGGGACCTGGGGCAAAAATTGGGGATTGGTCCTGCTTTGAGCAGGGGGTTGGACTAGATGACCTCCTGGGGTCCCTTCCAACCCTGATATTCTATGATTCTAAAATGGGGAACTTAGATATAGAAGGTCCAATAGCTACAGCCACTGCCTTGGATTCAAGTCCAAGCTCCGCCAGAGTTTGTGCATGACCTTGGGCAAACCACTTACTGTATCTCACCATCTGCTTTTCCCTTCAAAGGCATGCGGAGGAGAAATCAAGGTGAAGGGGCCATGTAACTGAAATGGTTGCATTGCATTAGTATTCAGAGCATGAGCTAAACTCCCCATGTGAACTGGGCTCCAGGGAGCAGCAGAGAGAATGAAGTGGGGGTCACTGCAGGTCCTACTGAGGAACATGAAGGGAGTTCCAAGCCCTCCGTTTTTCACACAGCTAAACAAACAGCTTTTGAAGATTAGTTGGCACAAGCCCATTTGTACAGGAATTATTCTTGTTCAGCCTATTTTTCCCCACAATCCACAGCTGTATTTGTGGACCTTGAAGTACAGCATCATTTAAGCTAATCAGAAGCCTGCAGTCTGAACCACAGACTAGAGTCTAGAGCTGCTAGCCAACTGGTTCTGCCTCTGTACAAGTACAAGCATATGTCATGCAAGTCTAGCTTCTTCAGAACCATCATTCTGAAAACTTGGCTGAAGGAAAGGGTTACATTTCAGCACTCATTTCAGGAGAGAAGTGTGCAGATTTCATCAGTAAGTCTCTCTTGCAGTACTATATAGAGGTCATAAGATGCAGTGCTGACCTTACCTAGGCCATTACACTAAGTTACACTGAGCTGTCATCTCTAGCAAGAGCCCTGGCAAGCTCAGAATATTTGCACCCATTTTGGTTAAAAGAAGTTTGTCCAGTTCCACTGGGAACTACTGGCTTGGTACAAAAGAGAATGGTGCTGGGTAGAAGTACTTATTTTTGACTAGCTGGAAGTTTCCTGGTTTAGTCTAAGTCACTTTCTTTGTGACGACCTTGCTCTATGAACCCACCTCCACTGCACTAGAGTCAACACCATGACTTGTTTCGGATGTCAAGGCTGCTTTCCCAGGCCATGCAGAAGAACATCTCACTTCACTGCTTCTGGCAACATCTGACTCCTCCTGTGCTCTCTGACTTTAGAACTTCAGTGATTTCCTCTGTGCTCTGTGCATTTTCCATTGTGTGTAGTCCCACACACTAAACAGGCACTGGGGAGGTGAGCCACCTCCAGACCCAAGGAATGATCACACCAGCCAACTGAAGGGTAACAAACTTTATTATACATCTCTTTAAAACAGGCTGGAAGGAACAAATAAACGTCATTCCAATATAGTGCCCCAAACCCACCCCTTTTCCATATGGATTCTGATCAACCCCCACCTCTCCCAACCCACCCTCCCTTAAAATTGCTCCAATTAAATTATCCTACTTCAGATCACCCCAACTGTCTTATCAATAGCTATTTCTGAACACCAAGACACACTGTTCTGGCAAAATTAGATGCAATATTTATTGGGTTTAGTTTCTTAATCTCCAGAAAGGAGAAAGGAAAAAACAAAATCAGGAAAATCATTTCTTAAGTTTGCCTTTTTACAGAAGGTAGAAATTCTGCAGGTCCCCATCCCCCCCCAAGCAAGTCTGAAACCCTCTTGTTCTGCTTGGCAACATGAAGAGAGATTCTGGTGGTCAAAGAGCACCAGCCAGATGAGATCAGTCTGAACAAACTGATTTCGAGGCTTTGTTTTCATTTCCCTTTTGGGCCAGCTTCAAGTGGTTTTCCAATATCCCTTCCACGTAGCTTAAGGCCTGGAATGACACACAAAGGAGACAACTTTCAGCAGTTTGCCTTGAGTCCTCCCTACATACTTGTCACCCTGAACCTTCCAACAGCCCAACAAATGAACTAAGGTGGCTGGAGGGAGGGGAGGGAGGGATGGGAGGGAGAAGTCACCCACTACAAGACAGAGCAAGCACAGAAGAGAGAGGAGGAGAAAGGGAGATTTATTTAAGAAAAAAAATCAGGCTTTATACATAACTGAAAAGAAACTGAAACAGGTAATTGGAAAAACTGAAAGTTCCCTTGCTCAGGTAACTTACAGGCCATTAGCTGAGTCATTGCCCAAAGAATAATCCTGGGGGGGGGGGGGGGTGTCACTAGTCTGAGAAGCACCACTCTACTAAGCATCATTGCAAAAGCCATTTCAGATGGTTTTAGCAGCAGATATCCTAGTTCATTACAAATATGAAATTAAGGCTTTGCATAACTAGAAAAGTGGGCACTCAGCCATTAAGGTCAGAAGGGACCATTATGATTGTCTAGTCTGACCTCCTGCACAATGCAGGCCACAGAATCTCACCCACCCACTCTTGCAATAAACCTCTCACCTATGTCTGAGCTATTGAAGTCCTCAAACCATGGTTTAAAGACTTCAAGGTGCAGAGAATCCTCCAGCAAGTGACCCATGCCCCATGCTGCAGAGGAAGGTGAAAACCCCCCCCAGGGCTTCTTCCAATCTGCCCTGGAGGAAAATTCCTTCCTGAACCCAAATATGGTGATCAGCTGAACCCTGAGCATGTGGGCAAGATTCGCCAGCCAGATACCCAGGAAAGAATTCTCTGCCACAACTCAGATCCCAGCCCATCACAGGCCATTGGGCCTATTTACCATGAATAGTTAAAGATAATTGCCAAAATCATGTTATCCCATATCATATCATCTCCTTCATAAACTTATCCCACTTCCAATGGCACAATGTATTCACTGCAAAATACATGACTTTGGATTTACATAAGGCCTTCAGGTCTCTGTCATCCAAAAAAATCACTATCAGACATAGAGCAAGTCCCAGACACTGAACCAATGTGAGTTTTCAATCCTTGCAGAGAGCTGAAAGCTTCGGAGTTCCTGCTTCTAAATCAGCAGAAACAATCTTAACATTAGGATGCAAAGTGACACCCCATAGGTCAGTGGTCTCCAACCTTTTTACACCAAGATCACGTTTTGAATTTAAGGGCAACCCAGGATCTACCCTGCCTCTTCCCCAAAGCCCCACTCCCTCCATCCCACCTCTGTCCATTTCTTGTTCTCCCGCACCCTCACTCACTTTGACTGGGCTAGGGCTGGGGCACAGGGTGGTGGCGGCTCTGAGAGGGAGGGCAGAGCTGAGGCTTGGGGTGCAGGAGGGGGGTTTGGAGTGCTGGCTCTAGGAGGGGGCTCCTAGGGCTGGGGTGCAGCCTCCCACCAGACAGCACTTACCTCCAGCAGCTCCCAGTTGGTGGTGTAGCATGGCTGCCGCTGAGGCAGGCTCCCTGCCTACCCAGGCCTGCTGCCGCCCCTGAGGAGGGGCTGGGGGCATGTGGCTCTGCGCACTGCCCTTCTCCACAAGCACTGCCCCTGCAGCTCCCACTGGCCACAGCTCCCCATTCCTGGCCAGTGGGAGCTGCAGGGGCAGCGCTTGCAGGCAGGAGCAGCGGCGCAGAGGGAGACCCTGGCTCCCCGCCCCTGGGGCCACACTGGCCGCTTCCAGTGCAGCCCCAGGGGCGGGGGGCCAGGGAAGGCAGAGAGTCTGCCTTAGCAGCAGCCCTGCTACACCACTAGAGATCACGATCGATCGAGAGATCCTCTAGGATCGACCAGTCGATCGCGATTGACCGGTTGGTGACCACTGCCATAGGTGAACCTATGAAACAGCACTGACATCAACCCTGCAAGCATCCTACCGGCAAAGCAACACATGCTGTTTCCCTATAGAATTGCTGGGTGCAAACAGAAAGGAGCTAAATGTAGACAATCAAATGACAGCAGCAGCAGCATCCCTCTCCCCCACACTGAAGTGGTTAGATAGCTACTGTGCATCTGACACTCACCGATGGCTCTTTCGATCTTGCCCAGAACCTGGTTGTTGGGGATTGCTCTTCCGCATTCGTAGTCAGCAATAACTTGTGGTTTTTCATTTATTTTCTAAAAAGAAGATGTGCTTTAAACACATCAGTTTAACAAATAGTGAACATTCAGAAACACAAACCCAAGACATCCCATATTACACGAGTGGCTGCATCTTCTCAGAAGTACACCAGGCTTGCAAGAGTGAATTCTGCCTGTCATCACTGGTTTCTTCTATCTGGGTGCTACCATGCCGATAACAGTTGTATTGTAAAAAGGTCTGCCTCGCTCTCAAGAAATCGGATACAAGAACGATAGTGGAGAGTGTCCACAAGCTACAGCAGTCCAGCAGCATGGCAGACACTTCTGTTTGAAAGCTCAGATACAGATAGGTTTTCAACACCTTATGTCAGGAATTACTATGCCAGGGCTAAGTCAGTTAAAGAGGAAGCCATTTTAACTCCAGCCCACAACATAGCTCACAGGTTCCAGATAGAGGTCCCTGGTCCACCACCTGAGCTGCTAGTTAGCCAGTAAACTGAAAAGTTTTGAAGTCTTCTATTAACCCTTGATGATACCTCCTCACCATCTACCGGTCAGGAGGCTAATTTGACACCATTTACAACCCAGCTCCCTCACATACACAGAGCCTGGCTAAGGAAAAGCAGGAGTAGAGACCAAACGACACTGATAAGCACTCACCGTGGCCAAATCCTTTTGTGTCAGGCCCTTGCTCTGTCGGCCCTGCTGGATTACTTTGCCCACCTCAAGGGGGACTCTGTCATGGTGCAGCTCCTCTGTCTCCCGATCCAGCTTAGCTGTGTTCTTAGTGATAGAATGCTGCTTGTTTTGGCCTGCTGCCCCTAGCATTTAAAACAAAATCAAGAAGAGGCAGTGTCAAAACTGTACTATGGCGAACAAGCACTTTGATGAAAGTCAATCAACTTCCCCAAGCTTTGTAGAATTTTCAGCATTCATCACTCTACCTATTCACGTCACCATTAACTTTATCATACAATCAGACTTTAAGGTCAGAAGGGACCATTATGATGGTCCAGTCTGGCCCCCTGCACAACGCAGGCCACAGAATCTCACCCACCCACTCCTGTAACAAACCTCTCACCTACGTCTGAGCTACTGAAGTCCTCAAATTGTGATTTAAAGACTTCGAGGTGCAGAGAATCCTCCAGCAGGTGACCCGTGCCCCACTCTGCAGAGGAAGGCGAAAAACCCCCAGGGCCTCTGCCAATCTCCCCTGGAGGAAAATTCCTTCCCGACCCCAAATACGGCGATCAGCTAAACCCTGAGCATGTGGGCAAGACTCACCAGCCAGCCACCAAGGAAAGAATTCTCTGTAGTAACTCAGATCCCACCCCATCTAACATCCCATCACAGGCCATTGGGCATATCTACCACTAATAGTCGAAGATCAATTAATTGCCAGAATTAGGCTATCCCATCATATCATCCCCTCCATAAACTTATCAAGCTTAGTCTTGAAGCCATATATGTCTTTTGCCCCCACTGCTTCTCTTGGAAGGTTGTTCCAGAACTTCACTCCTCTGATGGTTAGAAACCTTCGTCTAATTTCAAGTCTAAACTTCCTGATGGCCAGTTTATATCCATTTATTCTTGTGTCCACACTGGTACTGAGCTTAAATAATTCTCCTCCCTCTCTGGTATTTATCCCTCTGATATATTTAGAGAGAGCAATCATATCTCCCCTCAGCCTTCTTTTGGTTAGACTAAACAAGCCAAGCTCCTTGAGTCTCCTTTCATAAGACAGGTTTTCCATTCCTAGTAGCCCTTCTCTGTGCCTGTTCCAGTTTGAATTCATCTTTCTTAAAAATGGGAGACCAGAACTGCACACAATATTCCAGACACGGTCTCACCAGTGCCTTGTATAATGGTACTAACACCTCCTTATCTCTACTGGAAATATCCCGCCTGATGCATCCCAAGACCCCATTAGCTTTTTTTTATGGCCATATCACATTGGCGGCTCATGTGATCAACCAATACTCAGAGGTCCTTCTCCTCCGTTACTTCCAAGAGATGCGCCCCCAGTTTATAACAAAAATTCTTGTTATTAATCCCTAAATACATAACCTTGCACTTTTCACTATTAAATTTCATCCTATTACTCCAGTTTACAAGGTCATCCAGATCCTCTTGTAGGATATCCTGGTTCTTCTCTGTATTGGCAATACCTCCCAGCTTTGCGTCATCCGCAAACTTTATTAGCACATTCCTGCTTTTTGTGCCAAGGTCAGTAATAAAAAGATTAAACAAAATTGGTCCCAAAACCGATCCCTGATGAACTCCACTAGTAACCTCCTTCCAGCCTGACAGTTCATCTTTCAGTGTGACCTGCTGTATTCTCCCCTTTAACCAGTTCCTTATCCACCTTTCAATATTAATATTTTTCCCCACCTTTTCCAATTTAGCTAACAATTCTCCATGTGGAACCATATCAAGTGCCTTACTGAAATCGAGGTAGATGAGATCAACTGCATTTCCTTTGTCTAAAAAAAAAAATCTGTTACCTTCTCAAAGGAGGAGATCAGGTTAGTTTAACACAATCTACCTTTTGTAAAACCATGTTGTATTTTATCCCAGGTACCATTGACCTCAATGTCCTTAATTACTTTCTCCTTCAAATTTTTTTCCAAGACCTTGCATACTACAGATGTCCAACTAACAGGCCTATAGTTACCCAGATCCTATTTTTAAGAAAGGAAAAAAGTGAACTATGTTAGCAATTCTCCAGTCATATGGTACAACCCCTGAGTTTACAGATTCATTACAAATTTTTGCTAATGAGCTTGCAATTTCATGTGCTAGTTCCTTTAATCTTCATCCAAGAATATTATCTGGGCCCCTGGATTTAGCCCCATTAAGCTGTTCAAGTTTGGCTTCTACCTCGGATGTGGTAATATCTACCTCCATTTCCCCATTCCCATTTGTCGTCCTACCATTATCCCTAAGCTCCTCATTAGTCTCATTCAATACTTTGCCTCAGTCTTTGTTTAGATATTGGGCCATGCCTTGATTATCCTTAACCTCCACTCCATCTTCAGTGTTTAGCAGTCCCACTTCTTCTCTCTTTGTTTTCTTCTTATTTATATGGCTATAGAACTTTTTACTATTGGTTTTAATTCCCTTTGCAAGGTCCAACTCTACATGGCTTTTGGCCTTTCTCACTTTATTCCTACACGTACTGATCTCATTAAGGTAGCTTTCCTTGCTAATCCCTCTCATCTTCCACTCCTTGTAGGCTGCTTTTTCTTAATCACTTCTCTGAGATGCTTGCTCATCCAGCTTGGTCTACAACTCCTGCCTATGAATTTTTTCCCCTTTCTTCGGATGCAGGCTTCTGATAGCTTCTGCAGCTGTGACTTGAAGTAATCCCAGGCCTCCTCTGCCTTTAGATCCACAAGTTCTTCAGTCCAATCCACTTCCCTAACTAATTTCCTTAATTTTTTTAAGTTAGCTCTTTTGAAATAAAAAAGCCTAGTCGCAGATCTATTTTTTGTTTATCCTTCCATTTAGTTTGAACTGAATTAGCCCATGATCGCTCAAACCAAGGCTGTCCCCTACAACCATTTCTTCTAGGAGGTCCTCACTACTCACCAAAACCAAATCTAAAATGGCATCCCCTCTAGTCGGTTCAGCAACTACTTGGTGAAGGAATCCATCAGCTATTGCATCTAGGAAAATCTGAGCCCTATTATTATTAGCACTTGTCCTCCAGTCTATATAGCTTTCTTCCCCAATGTGATTTTTGCCCAGACAGACTGTCTTATCCATTCCATCGCTTCTTATTTCTTTACATTCTACCTCATCATTGATATAAATGTTACTCCACCACCTGTACCTTTATTTCTGTCTTTCCTAAACAGCACATCCCCTTCAATACCTGTAGTCCAGTCATGACTCCTATTCCACCATGTTTCTGTTGTCCCTAGAATATCTGGTTTCATTTCCTGCACCAGTAGCTCTAGTTCCTCCATTTTGTTACCTAGGCTCCTCGCATTGGTGTACAAACATCTTAATTTTTGCTATTTGGCCTCGCTCACATTCTTTACCCGATTAGGCATGGTCATTCTACCGCCAGTATCACCTATTAGACTGGTATGTACACTACCCTTCCTCCTTATGTCCATTCTCCCACCCACAGCTGTATCTTTTCTTTCTTCATTTTCTTCCCTCTCAATGTTAAAATCCGGTGTAGAGGTTACCTGGACATCTCCCAACCATCTTCCCCAGATTCCATCAGTTCCACTGATGCAGAAGTTACCATAGAATCACTCTTCAGAACCTAAGCTTTTAATTAAAAAAATTCAGCACTGATGATTGCAAAGAAAACCTTCCAAACAAAACTTAAGTGCAACTGAGGCAACGCTGCCTGCAGACTGCCTGAAATAATACTTGAGAGAGGTGTTAACTGCTTTATTAATCTTAATTGGCTTGACTCTGAAACCTAATGACAACAATCTAAACTATGCTGCTGGCCATTTTACCAGAAACCCTGTTAATGTTTTAACCCGCAACCCTCTACCCCAGCTGCCAAGCACTCCAAGCTCCCCTGCCACTCCCACCACAACTTGTATGATGGAATTGTACAGTGCAGTCTGTGGCATGTTGAAAACTGAAAATTTAGGGCCAGAATAAAATGTAATGCACTACCAAAACACAGACTACTGGCTTATTGGTTTTCATATTTCAGTTTAAAATATTAATTTGACTTTGAATTGCTATAGAACTTCCAGTCTACCACATAATTTAAGTCTAGTTCACTGTGGAGTATGAAGGGCCTTCAAGCTGTTACTCAATAAAACGTACATGGACCAAGAGAAGTTAAAGTACACTCATTTGAGGGAAGGTAGCTAAGTACCCAAATACTCTCACAATTCACATTGAGTACACATGCATAAAATATTACACTGCATAATCAAGCAACAAAGCTAATTCCATCCAAACCTCAGCCTATACACCTGAAAAGTCTATACTCTCACTAGATTACAAATATTTCCAGTTTTGACTTTCTGTAGAACTAATTTTCATTTGTGGTCAAGGATTTCAGGAATTTCTATTGTCAGATTTTTCAAACATGCAGAATTACCTTCCTCTTGTGCATGCATTTGCCAACCAAATGGTGTTGGAAGTATAAGGGTATTCCAAACATTGTTACCTTTCCCTCAACAGTGCACTTTAATCGTTTAAAAAAGCTCTAACGCATTTCAAACCAACATTCCTTGATATACATTTTAATTTCAAAGTGACCTGCAAATAATATAAATTGGGCTTATATCCTTTTTGCTTATAATGTATATAGACTTTAAGGTCAGAAGGGACCATCATGATCATCTAGTCCAGGGTTTCTCAACCTCTTGTTCAGAGCCACGGCTCCCCCACCCCCAACATATTACAAAAAAACACAGCCCACCTGTGCCACAACTGTTTTTCCTGCGTATCCAGTAGATTAAAAACCAGGGCCAGTGTTATGGGGTACCAAGCAGGGCAACCGTTCAGGGCCCCATGAAGTTAAGTTGCTCAGGCTTTGGCTTTAGCCCTGGGCAGTGAGGCTCAGGCTTTGGGTTCAGCCCTGGGCCCCAGAAAATTTAATGCTGGCTCTTTGGTTTATTTTGGCAGACCCCCTGAATCTGCTCATGGCTCCGCAGGGGGCCCTGGACAAGAACCACTGATCTAGTCTGACCTCCTGCACCCACGCCTAGAAATAGACCCCTAAGCTCTGGCTGAGTTGCTGAAGTCCTCAAATCATGGTTTAAAAGACTTCAAGTTACAGAGAATCCACCATTTACACTAGTTTAAACCTGCAGGCAACCAGCGCCACATGCTGCAGAGGAAGGCAAAAACAAAAAACCACAAACAAAAACCCACAGCATTTCTGCCAATCTGACCCCAGGGGAAAATTCCGACCCCAAATATGGTGATCAGTTAGAGCCTGTGCATGTGGGTAAGACCCACCAGGCAGATACCCAGGAAAAAAATTCTCTGTAGTAACTCAGAGCTCTCCCCATCTAGTGTCTCATTTCCAGACATTGGGTTTTTTTGCTATTGGCAGTCATCAATGGACCATATGCCATTGTAGACAGCCGCATCATACCATCCCCTCCATAAATTTATCAAGCTCAGGTCTTGAAGCCAGTTAGGTTTTTTTGCCCCCACTGCTCCCCTTAGAAGGCTGTTCCAGAACTTCATTCCTCTCCTCTGATGGTTAGAAACCTTCATTTAATTTCAAGGCTAACCTTGTTCATGGCCAGTTTATATCCATTTGTTCTTGTGACTCCACAGGTACTTAACTTAAATAAGTCTTCCCCCTCCCTGGTATTTATCCCTCTGATGTATTTATACCTTTTGGTGAGGCTAAACAAGACAAGCTCTTTGAGTTTCCTCTCATAAGGTAGATTTTCTATTCCTTGGATCATCCTAGTAGCCGTCCTCTGCACCTGTTCGTTTGAATTCATCCTTCTTAAACATGGGAGACCAGAACCGCACACAGTACTCCAGATGAGAGCTCAGCAGTGCCTTGTATAATGGTACTAACACCTCCCTGTCTCTACTGGAAATACCTCCCCCGATGCATTTTAGGACAGCATTAACCTTCTTCACAGCTGCATTACACTGGCAGCTCACAGTCATCCTACGATCAGCCAATACACCCAGGTCTTTCTCCTCTTCTGTCACTTCCAACTGATAAGTCCCCAGCAGATAGCAAAAAATCTTTTGTTAGTCCTTAAGTGCATGACCTTGCACTATTAAATTTCATCCTATTTCTATTACTCCAGCTTACAAGGTCATCCAGATCTTCACATGTGATAGTCTGGTCCTCCTCCATACTGCAATACCTCCCAACTGTGTGTCCTCTGCAACTGTCATTAGCGTACTCCCACTTGTTGTGCTAAGTATAAGAGACTGAAAGGTTTTTTTGTTTTATTTATTTATTTTTTTAAAGGGATCAGTGTCAACTCCTGCTTCCCCTGGTTTTACTGCAGGACCCACTGAAGGTCTCAGAGGATGTACTGTTAGTTCTCTCTGAATAACCCAAGAGGTGAGGGTGTTGACTCTTGAACAAAGATGTTCCTTCCCCAAAATGTTAACCACTACAGATAATTCAGCATTAGCAACAAAAAAAAAAAAAAAAAATCCACAAAGTTTTAAACAACCTGAATAAAAATCCCTTCCCCTCCAAGTTTTCACTCTTTTGGCTGTTGGCAGTTCATTAGATTTCCAGTTATCACAGACTCTCTCAAGCTGTAAGAGACCTTAATTTCTAACATCACACACTTTCCCCACTGATGGTGAGTACTATTATATATTAAACATCCATATTTTATTTTAAATTTGTATTGCCCTGTAACATTTCATTCTCGGTAGTGATATTGAAGTTAACACAGATATTTCACAGTGATTATTCATGTTAACATGCTTAATACATGTGTGTGGGTGTGTTTTATTAAATGACAGACTTGAATCATAAAGCTAAGATAAAGAGTTCATGTGTACGGACTGTTTTCTTTCAAACTCTGATACGAATATTAAATAAGCCACAAAAGGCTTGAAAGTTTCAAATATGGTTTTATATATGCCTACAATAATTTTATTTTACAAAATCAAAGTTAATACTCTTCATAAACTCAAAACAGATTCAAAACAAAACAGTTTTCTCTAAGTGTTTTAATGCTAATATTTACATCTATTTGACATTTTATTTATGTACTTTTTCAAAGTCTCAGATGTAATTTATTACATCTTTCTTGGAGGTTATTTTTAAGTTATACAGTGGTTTCATTTCATTTAACAATATAAGCAATATGCCCTGGATATATTATTAATGCACAGCATTGTATGCGTTTGTTGAACAGGTGCACTTGCTTTGTGAAAAATGACAGGTTTCAGAGTAACAGCCATGTTAGTCTGTATTCGCAAAAAGAAAAGGAGTACTTGTAGCACCTTAGAGACTAACCAATTTATTTGAGCATGAGCTTTCGTGAGCTACAGCTCACTTCATCAGATGTATACCGTGGAAACTGCAGCAGACTTTATATACACACAGAGATCATGAAACAATACCTCCTCCCACCCCACTGTCCTGCTGGTAATAGCTTATCTAAAGTGATCATCAGGTCACTTTAGATAAGCTATTACCAGCAGGACAGTGGGGTGGGAGGAGGTATTGTTTCATGATCTCTGTGTGTATATAAAGTCTGCTGCAGTTTCCACGGTATACATCTGATGAAGTGAGCTGTAGCTCACGAAAGCTCATGCTCAAATAAATTGGTTAGTCTCTAAGGTGCTACAAGTACTCCTTTTCTTTTTGTGAAAAATGTTTTTCTGGAGTCCAGACTTTGACTGTACCTTGGCCAAGAAATATAGACCTTGACAAAAAAAAAAAATAGGACTATCCTGGATCCCCCTTCTCCTTTATTTCCACTTAAATTTATATTTGTTTTCAAGTCTGATCATTACATATAGCAAACTTTATTAGAAGAGGGTACTTTAATGAGCTAGAGATGTGTTTTATCCTTTTCTGGATTACATTATTACAATCAACATCTAGAAAGGAAATGCACAAATTTAAAAAATCAACATTCACCATTCTTAACTTCTCCCCATTGTTTTCTTAACCTTTCCCTATTATCCTTAACTATTGAAGCACATATATTATGTATTGTCAGAGCCTGACCTGAGACCTCTGCAAAACGAAGACGACTGAAGGACTGTTGAGAGTTTAGAGGTCTTAAATATTCATTATTTTCTCTAAGGTTTTTAGGGGGAAATCCACATAAAGTACAGACAGAATAGTACCATTACACTGTATTATGTAAATACATGTTTACACTTCTTAAAGAACTTTAAATAGGTTGTCAATATAATAGACTGCAAGAGTTCCAACATCTGTAACGATTTAATTCATAATTAAAAACTAGTGCAATAGCTATTTTATATATCTCACTTCTTGTATTTTGAAAGAGTGAATTTATGGAAATATGTATTATTTTAGCTCTACTGCATAACAGTGTTGCTATGGTTAAAGATGCTGTAACAGTTCTATTTTATATACATCAGCCACTAGGATCTTATCTTTTAGATATTTGCTCCAAGCTGCATTTTTGGATTAAAGAATTTTAGCCAAAATTATATTTTTGGTAGTTTTCCAAAAGAGACTATCTGTTTTTAGAGTTTTGTAAATGCAATACACATAAACGAATTCATTTATGTAAAAAGCAAGTATTTTTTTAAAAAAATACAGAGCTCAATTCTCAGTTACACCAAGTCCTTTTTACATAATTCAGTAAGCATAAAGGGGCCTTGATTTAGGAGTAAATGATGTTTATACCCACTATAAGGGCCCACTTTACAGTCAGAGCAGTGTAAAAGTTCAGGTGCCAACACCATGGGGGGGGGGGGGGAAGATTGTCCCACTGATCAGCAACTCCTCCTCCCTCTCAGCTGTTTGGCAGCCAGTGGGATTAAGGTGAATCACTCAGGATGCAAACACCTCCAGAGAGGTATCACCCCTGGGGGAGGTTGGCACGTAATGGTTCAAACTGGGTTTTCCAGAGACCAACAGACAATGAAAAGGTTTTTGGCATAAAAAAATCCCAGAGATTAAACTGACACATGGGTCTTTTTTCTAATTCAGCAAATGGCCACAACCTTCTGTGAGAGAGAGGACGGAAGATTGGATATTAGGAAAACCTTTTTCACTAGGAGGGTGGTGAAGCACTGGAATAGTTACCCAGGGAGGTGGTGGAAACTCCTTCCTTTGAGGTTTTTAAGGTCAGGCTTGACAAAGCCCTGGCTGGGATGATTTAGTTGGGGATTGGTCCTGCTTTGAGCAGGGGGTTGGACTAGATGACCTCCTGAGGTCCCTTCCAACCCTGATATTCTATGAGGGAAACCCTTGCAGAAGGGTTGGAAAGACTTTGGCTTATTAGGACCACCTAGGATGAATGGGTGACCTTTGGTAAGCTTCTGCCATGCATATGGGAACTTTTATTTGTTTAATATGTTCCCTACGATTAAATGCAATTTGCTTTGTAACTAGCACACACTGTTGTAACCCCTGGAGAAAGTTTAAAGAGTGCTGGGGAAAAATCACAGAGGTGCTGCAAAAACCCTAAGTCCCCAAGTCTGGAGGAAGAGAGATAAGGTCCCTGTCAGAGACGCAAGGGCTGGGACCCTGAAATCTGAAGTGGGTACCCTTGAGGAATGCTGGGGTACATGTGTGCAGTTAACCCTAAAACTGTGACAGGGGTAACTATGAAGTTAAAGGAAAACATGAAACTGGCCTTCCCTACCCACCCCCGAGACAGAAATACCTACATTTCTTGGAGGTCTCTACATCTTCTCCTCTTCTCTGAGCTGCTAAGATTGCCTAGAAATAAGAAATTTAACTTTATCAAGATTAGTTCCATTAACATAAGGCACAGACCACTATTTAAACACTTTAACAAAGAATGATTTATCCTCAAACAGCCAAGCTGCTAGCAAAAAAAAAAAACCTCCCTGAGCATGTATCCAGGCAACCGCAATGACTTTGCTACAAGAGGAGAGGAAAGGAAGTAGCCTGCTTTGGCAGTTGGATAGGAGATTTATTAGTTCTGAGAAGTACATTGGAAGAACTCTCCATATTAATAGAAACATTTTGGATGTTCTGGAGAAAAAAATTATGTTATGTGGATTTTAATCTTCCTTCACCCAGTTTGAGAAAGAAACATTGCTTTATAGTCCTTATTATCGAGAAAGCAATGTAAAATGGGCTAGGATAATGTCTAGAGGTGTGTCTAGACTGCAATTTAAGTCCCAGGTTTGAACTCAGGCTCAAGCCTAATCCACCATCTACACATAAATCATGAAAACCCAAGGTAGGGGTGCAATTTCAGACCGGTGGAGTGGGGGAAGACAGCAACTTTACCCATGATTCAAGGGGCTACTTAAGGCACCTGATAACCTAGGCCTGGTCTACACTACAAAGTTAGGTCGACATAAGCCGCGTTAGGTCAATTTAATAACTTATGTGTCTATACTACTGAGTCCCCTTCCGCTGACCTCAAGGGCCTATAAAGTCAACTTTGTACTCCACCTCCATGAGAGGCACAGCGCTTGATTCGACATCCAAGGGTTGACATGGGGATAGTGTAGACACGGTGTTGTGTAATTTGAATGAACTGGCCTCCAGGTGTCGTCCCACAGTGCTCTGCTTTGACCACTCTGGAGAGCACTTTCAACTCCACTGCACATCAGCCAGGTACACAGAAAACAGTTGCCCCCCTGTTAAAGCCCTGGAAACTTTTGAATTTTCATTTCCTGTTTGATCAGCATGGAGAGCTTGTCAGCATAGCTGACATGGATGCTCAAGGCCGCAAATGTGCTCCAGCATGGAGTACACAGGAGGTGCTGGATCTTATTGCTGTGTGGGGATAAGAGTCTGTGCAGGCAGAGCTCCGATCCAGCAGAAGAAATGCTGACATCTTTGCCAAAATCACACAGGGCATTGGGGAAAAGGGATACAACACGGACACACAGAAGTGCGACATGAAAATAAAGGTGCTTCAGCAAGCATACCAGAAGATAAAGGGAGGCAAACAGTCACTCTGGTTCTGATCCACAGACATGCCACTTCTATGAGGAGCTGCATGTGATTCTTGGCGGCAACCCCATCACTACCCCAAAATGCTCCATGGATACCTCCCAGGAGCCCCGGGCGACCTCAAGCAACAACAAGGACATTGTTGATGAGGAAGAGGAGGAGAATGCAGGACAGGCAAGCGAAGGATCCATTCTCCCTCAACAGCCAAGAACCCTTTTTAAACTCTGGAGCACGTCCCCACACAGGACCAATTGCCGGCAGAGCATGATGCCCGGGAAGACACCTCTGGTGAGTCCACATTTCCAATCAAACTGTCGGGGTTACATGCTATTATTTTTAATGTTGAATCTGAAGAAAAAAGGAGGTGTCGTGGGTATCGGTGACCACTCCAGCTATGCAGAGGGAGCTCTCCAAAAGACTGTTTATGTGCATGGGGATGGCCCTGGAATCCTTCATGGAGATCTCTAGGAAGCTTTCATGGAGGTACTCTGCAATCCTTTGCAGAAGGTTTTGGGAAGGGCTGCCTTATTTCGTCCACCACGGTAGGATACTTTCCCCCGCCACTCCAGTATTAACTCTGCTGGCATCATTGCGGGGCACAGCACTGCAGCATAAGGACCAGGTCTGTACCCAGACGCTTGCAGCATTTGCTCCCTTTCCGCCTCCCTTACCCTCAGGAAAGTGATATTGTATGTGGTCACCTAGGGGAAACGGGGGGAGTTTTAAATGCTAGCCCTTAAACCACAAGCAATTTGACAAGTAATCCACCCCATTTGGTGAATTCTCAGTCACAGAACCACACTTTCCCAAGTGTGCTCTGGTTGTGGTTGGAAGGGATCATCACATATTGCAACCAGCACTTAAAAATGGGGAGGCGGATGTTTCCTGTTTGTCTCCTTTCCCCCCACCCCCAACCCAGTGCCACTTTTGTAACAACCAAACTATTTGCAGAGCTTGACACTGGTGCCTGTCCTCAAGCAATATCAAGGTTGCTAGGGGAAAAGGGGCCTTTTCTCAAGTTCCAACCTGTGATCCCAAGAATGTGCTGCAGCTTTTGTGAAGACAAGACCTCTCACCCATGCCTCGTGGACTACACACCATGGCTGGAGCAGCAAACCAACTCCTGCAATAGCCAGTGGTTGTGATTACGTTGTGGCTTGCAGGGAAGTGCATTGAGGGATGTTTCTTTTTATAAAAGAATTAACCTTGCACCAGAAACAATGCATGCACTGTCAATGCTACCCTTGTGCTTTGTATTCTTTACAGCTGAAACCTGTCCATTGGCACATCCTCCACACTGGAACAGAGACTTTCCCAGATTAGAAGGCAGAAAAAGACTACTTGGGAGGACTTGTTCAATGAATTAATGCACGCCTCCAAGAGTGACAAGACGGAGCTCAGAGCATGGAGGATTACACTGCGTGACAGCCTGCATAAGGACAGCATGTAGGGAACAAGAGCGTGCCACCGAGGAAGAGATGCTGTGGATTATGAAGGAACAAACAGACATAGGGGGAGGGATAGCTCAGTGGTTTAAGCATTGGCCTGCTAAACCCAGGGTTTTGAGTTCAATCCTTGAGGGGGCCATTTAGGGATCTGGGGCAAAAACTGGTCCTGCTTTGAGCAGGGGGTTGGACTAGATCTCCTGAGGTCCCTTCCAACCCAGATATTCTATGATTAGACGTCCGATTGAGGCTCAAGAAAGGCAGCTGGATGCTTGAATCCCTCTGGAGCCATTGCTGAACCTGCTGCCATCATCACCCAGTTCTACATCCTCCCTGCCCCCCACAAACATCTGGGGGAGGGGGGGGAGAGGAGCACTCAATACCAGGGGAGGGTACAAGGACCAGAAGGTGCCCGTTCCCGCACCTTTGATGGTTATTGCAGTGCATCTGTAAGCAAGCTTTCCTTGTTCCCGCCCCCGCAGTATCAGCAGCCCTTTTTGCCCCAAGTAATCTTACTTTTCTTTGCTGTCTGTGTGTTTGTGACCATAATAAAACTTTACAGATTGAAGAGCCTTTTCTCCTCATTCATCAGTACACTGTGGTTAGTGGGGGTGGAGTTTACAGGGGAGAAAATGCAATGAAGGAAACAGCTTGGTAAGGAACAACACACATGTGTTCCGTCTACAGTCCCACAGCAGTTAGGGAACCGCATAGTGGCAAAACCATCCACTATGCCCTGCATGTTGCCCAGAGTCACTGTCCTTCGTACCAGAAGTCTATTGATTGCCCTGGAAACTTGGATCACAGCAGACCCCACGGTAGATTTACCCACTCCAAGTTGATTCCCCACTAATCGGTAGCAGTCTGACATTGCAAGCTTCCAGAGAGCTATCGCCACTCGCTTCTCAACTGTCAGAGCAGCTCTCATTTTACTATTGCTGCGCTTTAGGGCTGGGGAAAGCTCCTCACACAGTTCCATGAAAGTGGCCTTACGCATTCGAAAGTTCTGCGGCCACTGCTCGTCATCCCATAGCTGTATAACTATGCGGTCCCACCAGTCAGTGCTTGTTTCCTGGGCCCAGAAGCGGTGTTCCACCATGTCAAGGTGATGCGTGACTGTTGCCAGCATCTGCTAATTGCTCCGGTCCATGGCTTCCAGCAGGGCTGCTTGCGTGGCATCACATTGTTCCTGCTTCGGCTCAGTATATACTGCAGGATAAGACATGAGGTGTTTGTAATGCTCACAACAACAGTGTACAGCTGATCAGAGTCCACGCTTGCCATGCTATGGCGTCTGCGCGGGTAACCCAGGTTTAGGAAAAAAGGCGCGAAAAAGGCTTGGTTTCTTTGCTGTGCATTTCAGGGAGAGAGGGAGGTAAGTGCATCATGGGAGGCTAACGCCATGTTATAACCACCCGCGCAAATGTTTTGGTCCCATGAGGCATCGTAAGCCCAACCCAAAATTCCACTCAGCTCCATGCACTCACCCATAGTGCAGCGCTCTGTGCATTGATGCAAGCCCTGCTAGGGAGGATGCACTCCACCGACACTATGAGCATAGTGAGGACACACAAGATCAACTTGCTTAAATCGGCGGATCAATGTCGATTAACATAAAATCAACTTAACTTTGTAGTGTAAATATACCCTTAGATACAGTACTCCTAATTACTATATAAAGAAAAAATATACAAACCCCAATTAAAGCCATTGTTCTAAATTTACACATAAATTTAAAATATCAGGAGACAATACAACAAGATATTCCCAATCCCAAGCCTTGAGGTATCAATTTTGGAGCCTTACAAGGTATCAGAAACACACGTCTGATACTTTATACACTACCTTTAGTAGAGATAAATAAAATAGGCTTCCTTTCTCTAACAGATGTTCTGTGTTACTGCCACTATCTACTCTATTTTAGTCAATTGTTTTCACACTACTAAAAATGTATTTAATTTTAACATGTGATTACTTTTTTTCCTCTTATTAAGAATGGGAAATTTTTCTAATTATTTTGGCATTTATATTTACTGATCACAATCACGTATCTGACTCACTAACATTTGACTCCATCATTGCTATTAGTATCAGACTTGGAACCGCATTTGTTTTCCTATGAATTTTAAGTTATTTTACAGATATAACTAAAAATACTATTTGAAAATAAATAACCTTCATCTGTAGTGTGTCTGAAGTTGTGCGTTTAGCTAATTTTTTTTAAACTGGCATTGCTAAGGGGAGTACAAGCTAAATTTACATTCAAGAAGGATCACATTATTTGATTGTATCACTTTAAACAATGATTGACAAAGCTCAACATGGTCAGTAATAATGATAAATTACTCCAGCCAGGACCAGTTAGGCATTTTAGAACTCACTACTCAAAGAATTAAATTTAAGCATAAGAAAGAAAAACAAAACTATGAAATAGACAGAACCAGTCAAAAAAACTAAAATAAGCACTGTAGTTCTTAAAGAACTTTTTAAAGAAAAAAAAAACCACAGAGACTAGATGTGCATTTCGACGGGAAGTACCAAGTAGTAACAGCACCACCACTAGTGTGTGAGGGAGATTAAGTGTGAGCCTGAGTGTGTCAGCACACCAAGCACTTTTTCAGTATAGCAGCAGCTGAAGCACCAACTCCTGAGCCAGAGGCAGCAACAGACAGGCCCTGTCCTCTCACCCAGCTTAGTGAGACCAGACACATGGGGGAGCAGCTTGGCCAGCGGCAGCCGCAGTGGAAGACAGAGTGGGAGAGTAGGGGTGGCATCTCCCACCCTGCTGCAAACTGCACCCGAATGTGGTATGAAGCTTGGGGGCAGGACAGGTGCTCCTCTGACTCACGGCTCTGACCTAGAGTCCCAGGACCCCTTGAGGGTGAAGGGTCTGAGCCTGAATCAAGCGGGGATCCAGGATTCAATCCCTATTGCTTTGAAGTGTAGATGCAGTCCCACTGGACTGGTGTTTGAGGAGTCTGCCGAAAATATTCCACAATCCCACGGGCTGATTTTCTTTGTCCTCTGGATAGTCAGGTTTGGTGGACAGCCAAGTTTTCCCACACTGCACCACAAACAAAGGGCTAGAGTGGCCACATTTTGGGAAGGCACTAGGAAGTCTAGGACATGGGTGGTTGGACTCGGGCTCACATAATTCAGTGTAGACACTCAAGCCCTAAATTAACAAACCCAGGGTCTGCTAACTTGAGTTCTACTAAACTTGGGCTTACATTGCACTGCAGACAGACCCTGAAGCTGCATATATCTGAAGACATGGTTAAGGATACAATTCTCTTATGGAAGTTACAGATTCCATGACTTTCCAGGACCTTCATGACTTCTTCTGGGGCGGGGCAGAGCCAGCACCCTGCCCCGGGGCCCCCAAAACAGCTAGCCAGCAGCCTGCCCAGGGGACCTCTGCTATGGTGCTGGGCCCCAACCCTCTGGAGTAGCAGCTGGAGTGTGGTCAGCCCTCTTGGGGCTGGAGAAGAAGCAGTTAGCCCCTGCCACAGGAGCATCGGTGGGGCTGGAGCAACTGCAAGCCCTGGCAGTGCTGTTTGTTCCTCCTTTTGCCCCCCAGGGTATTTTTAGTGAAAGTCAGAGACAGGTCACAGGCTTCCATAAATTTCTGTTTATTGCCCGTGACCTGAATACCCGTGACAGAATCTTAACCTTACATATGGTCTAATCTCATTCACTCAGATGTTTTGCTGAGGTCATCATTTTTGTCTAGTTAAAGAGTAACTGTGTACAAACTTGTCAGGAAAAAAAAACTGTTTCAAGTCATACACAGAAATGCTCTTTTATGACTTCTCACAGTTGGATAAGAGATTGTTTCCATACCTAGCTAACTTATCCACTTGCTCTCCTAAAATAATTAGACTATAGATGAGAAGTCTGGTGGCATCTTAAAGACCAATAGATTTCTTTGGGCATAAGCTTTCATGCATAAAAAACCCACTTTTTCAGATGCATGGAGATGCATAAAACTGTTAGTCTTTAAGGTGCCACCGGACTCCTCATTGTTTTTGTGGACACAGACTAACGCAGCTACCCCCTGATACGTAGACTATAGATCAGGGCCGGCTCCAGGCACCAGCTTTCCAAGCAGATGCTTGGGGTGGCAATTAGAACGGGGCGGCAGTCCATGTCCCGTGGCGGCAATTCGGCAGCTGCTCTGCCACTGTTGTGGCGGTGGCAATTTGGCGGCAGCTGCTTGGGGCAGCAAAATTGCTAGAGCTGCCCCTGCTATAGATGGTTATTTTTTAAGTAGCCAGTAAACAAAATGCAGCACTAACCATTAGTATTATTAAACACAAACTCCAACTAAGTACAAGTTAATGGAGAAAAGTACTTATCTCCACTGATACCAAAACCACATGCTCCAGTTTCACCTTGGAACTTTTAGAGTTACCTAGGAACAAACAGATGATAGGCAAAGGTCACAGAATTTGGTATTCAGCTGCCATACCATGAGGGGCAAAAGGATCAAGGTGACAGATGATTACGAAACAGCTAAGAGATGGTTATCATACAGGTTTTTTGTACAACTGTTCACAGATGGACTGTTTTCAGTTAGGAATTGTGTTCATTTTTATTGCCACCCAACAGTAGTTGCACCAAACAGCTACATGACTTTGTTTTCAGGCAATGAACCCACATGTGAAATAAGTAATATGAACTTGGGAAGTTTGCAGCAGCTTCTTCCCAAAGCTGTTGTCCAATCACAAAAATCCTTAAAAGTGAAATAGACCATAGGAGAACTGCAGTACTAGATGTGTGTCAAAAGCTCCTTCCTTTGGGGTTGGGGCAGGACATACACTCCAAGTAGTTTATACTTGTTTCGGCTCCACCCCATTATGTTGCATCAGCCAGCTTATTTGATGCACAGCAGTTTTGAAATATTATTTTTAATATACAGTAAATTATCTGTTCTCTATCTTTAATGGGGGGGTAAGACCTTTGAAAGCCACTGAATGTCCGAACGCACACAAGAACAAGCCAGTGCAACACTGGAGGAGCTTAAGAGAGAGATTAATTTTTAGAATCTGTGCCAAATGCCCCTCTCAGCCTGGTCAGCAGGGTCATATATTGAAAGATGAACTACATTATCTGCAATTCTGTATTTCCAGCTGTATTCCATCTTATTCCTACTAGAAGTAGCAATTCAAGGGGCAACATTATATCTTGCCAAGTCAGTGCTTTTCCTGGATAAGAGTGAAGCCTCAGTGTCAATTCTGTCTTTTCAGCAAAAAAGATGGAAAGCACCAAGATGTCACACGAGAGACCAGCAGCCATTTGTCACTGTACAATAATCTAGGTGAATTAATCTTCCTGCACAGACACCAAGTTATTAGAAAAAAGCCACCCTACACGTGCCAGCAATGGACCACACCAAGCCAGACAAAGCCCCCTTTTCTATGTCACACTCCTTCCAGCCGCGCTGCGGCCGAGCAGTGACCGGATTCTGCGTTCGGACCGTTTACTGGAGCGGGGGGTCTCAACCTCTCTCTTTCGGAGCCCCCCCAACAGGCTACACAAACTCCACGGCCCCCCTGCGCCACAGCACCTGGTTTTCTGCGGATACAAGCCAGGGCTCGCGTTAGGAGGTAGCCAGCAGGGCAACTGCCCAGGGCCCCTGGGCTCAGGGGGCACCATGAAGCTAAGCTGCCCAGGCTCCAGCCCCAGGAGGCGGGGCGCGGGGCCCCGGGGGGAGCATCCCGCCCAGCACGGCTATGCCCTCAACAAAAGGCCCCCGCCAGCAGCCAATATCCAGCCCGCTCCCAAGAGGGGTGCTGGGTGGCGAGCAGGGCAAGGACCCCAGCGAGCGCTACTCGGCGCGCAGCAGGGCGCCCCGCTTCCAGCCATCCGCACAAGGCCGCGCAGAGAGCGGCGGCGCGGGTCCCACAGCCCCGGGTCCCACAGCCCCGCGCCGCCGCGAGTCCCGCGCCGCGCCCGCCCCGCAGCCAGCCCCCGAGCGCGAGCGGGGCGCGGCGGCCGCCCGGCCCCGGCCGGTGAGCCCCGCCCCGCCCAGCCCACGGCAGCGGCTGCGGGGAGCCGGGCCCCGGGCAGCGGCTGCGGGGAGCCGGGCCGGGCCCGCCCCGCGCCTCCTCCCCCGCGGGCTCAGCCAGCGCCTGAGGGGACCCGGCCCGCAGCCAGGGAGGGGCCGGGCCGACGGGACCCGCTCGGACAGCCCCGGCCCGGGCTCCGGGCACCCCCTGACCTGCTTGGACTTGGCCTGGGCCGCGCTCGGCCCCTTCTTGCGCAGCACCGTGACCGTGTCCCAGTCGCTCTCCGCCATGGCACCGACCGACTCCGCCCGCAGCGCAGCCTCCTCTTGCGCTCTCCAGCCCGCCGCTCATAGGGCGACCTGCCTGTCACTCCTCAAGTAGACTTGCACTGATTGGATGAGAGAGGGGTCCCGAACCGGAACGGCTGTGCGGACGATCGGCGCGCTGATTGGTGCACATACGCGCCACTCATTAAATACGTTGCCTTACTGGGTGAGAATGACGCCTTCTGGAGGGTGGGACTTCGGGGCGCCTTGTCTCAATAGGCTTCGGCGTCAACACGCTTCTGGGCCCGCGCGGACGCGGCTCGGGGGCGGGGGCGGGTGAGCGGCGAGGGACGCGGGGCTGCGGCTGGCTCCGCGCTCGGGGGCGTGGCTGGGGCAGGTGTTTGCTGGGCAGCGCCGGCCCCGGGACCTCCGCCGCCCCGAGCCACAGGCTGTCCGGCCTCCCCGTCCCCCGCGGCTCCACCGCGTCCCCGGCCTGCCCCAAACCCCCCGCTCCGCCTGCCCCCCGGGCGTGCTGCGTCCCCCCATTGCCCCCTGCGGGTCCCCCCACCCCCCCGCTCCGCCTGCCCCCCGGGCGTGCTGCATCCCCCCATTGCCCCCTGCGGGTCCCCCCACCCCGCTCCGCCTGCCCCCCGGGCGAGCTGCATCCCCCCATTGCCCCCTGCGGGTCCCCCCACTTCCCCGCTCCGCCTGCCCCCCCCGGGCGTGCTGCATCCCCCCATTGCCCACTGCGGGTCCCCCCCACCCCCGCTCCGCCTCCCCCCCGGGCGAGCTGCATCCCCCCATTGCCCCCTGCGGGTCCCCCCACCCCCCCGCTCCGCCTGCCCCCGGGCGTGCTGCGTCCCCCCATTGCCCCCTGCGGGACCCCCACCCCCCTGCTCCGCCTGCCCCCCGGGCGTGCTGCATCCCCCCATTGCCCCCTGCGGGTCCCCCCACCCCCGCTCCGCCTGCCCCCCCCGGGCGTGCTGCATCCCCCCATTGCCCCCTGCGGGTCCCCCCTCCCCCCCGGGCGAGCTGCATCCCCCCATTGCCCCCTGCGGGTCCCCCCACCCCCCCGCTCCGCCTGCCCCCCCCCCGGGCGTGCTGCATCCCCCCATTGCCCCCTGCGGGTCCCCTACCCCCCCGCTCCGCCTGCCCCCCCCCGGGCGTGCTGCATCCCCCCATTGCCTCCTGCGGCTCCCACCACCCATCCCCGCTCCGCCTGCCCCCCGGGCGTGCTGCATCCCCCCCCTTGCCTTTTGTGGCTCCCCTCACCCCCCCGCTCCGCCTGCTCCCCGGGCGTGCTGTATCCCCCCCATTGCCTCCTGCAGCTCCCCCCACCCCCCGCACTCCGCCTCCCCCCCGGGTGTGCTGCATCCCCCCCATTGCCTCCTGCGGCAGGTGAGCTGAGGCCGTGGGGGCACATTTCTAGGGGCGGCATGGCAGGCGCCAGAATGCTGCCCCTAGAAATGGGCCACCCCAAGCACCTGCTTGTTTTGCTGGTGCCTAGAGCCAGCCCTGATGGTTAGGGGGATTTTTACCTCAATAGCTGCACCAGCCTACGCTCCCTTACACTAGTGCAAAGCACTATTATATCAGTGTCCATTTTTAAAAATGGCTCCAGAGGTGATCTCGGTAATTACAGGCATGTAAGCCTGACTTCAACACTGGGCAAACTGGTTGAAACTATAATAAAGAACAATATTGTCAGACATATAGATGAATGTTGTCGGTAGCTTCCGGTGTGGTGCTCTGCTCTTGTTCGATAATGATAACAGTCGGCTGCGGGCGTGTTCCCTCTGTGTACTGCCCCAGCTCTGCGCAGATACCTCACGCAGCAGACCCCGAGAGAACCCCCAAAAACCACAGACTAGTAAGATACGAAGGCACCCGAGCCGGGTTTATTGTTGAACGAAGCACAGTAATAGTTCCCTATAGACTCTACAGGGCATACTACAAATTTGTGCTCCCTGGCAATGGACACAGCTCAGTCAGGGGCGGGACACTCCACTGCCCCGTAGGCTGGACATAGATGTGCGCTCCCGGACCTACTTTTATACAGTTGCAGGACAGATTACTCATCATAGTTCAAACAAATCTGTCCATCATGTTGTCCTTTTGACCTTGTCTTTAAGTTGCACCTGCCTGTTCCTTGTTACGTCTATGGAGTGTTCTGATGCCATCTTGGCGCAAGTTCCTCTCATTAGCCCTTGTGTGTGTGTGTGCACGTGCTTCTAACAACCTTTTCTTGCCAACTTCTGTGCGTGGGACCTGCCTCAAAGCCCAGCTTTGCTTATCACTGGCTGGAAGTACTTTGGTTCAGGCTTCAGGCCTCAGACTGGGCCTCTGATACAAGAATTTATGTTTCAGGGCCTCCTCTGACTACAATGAACATAATCTGTTGAGGAAGAGTCAACATGGTTTTAGTAAAGGGAAATCATGCCTCACCAATCTACTAGAACTCTTTGAGGGGTCAACAAGCATGTGGACAAGGGTGATCCAGTGGATATAGTGTACTTAGATTTTCAGAAAGCCTTTGATAAGGTCCCTCACCAAAGGCTCTTATGCAAAGTAAGCTGCCACAGGATAAGAGGGAAGGTGCTCTCATGGATTGGTAACTGGTTAAAAGATAGGAAATAAAGGGTAGGTATGGAATGGAGAGAGGTAAATAGTGTTGTCCCCCAGGGGAATGTTCTGGGACCAGTCTTATTCAACAGATTCATAAATGATCTGGAAAAAGGGGTAAACAGTGAAGTGGAAAAATTTACAGATTGTACCAAATTACTAAAGATAGTTAAGACCCAGGCAGACTGCAAAGAGCTACAAAAGGATCTCTCGAAACTGGGTGACTGGGCAACAAAATGGCAGATGAAATTTAATGTTGATAAATGCAAAGTAATGCTCATTGGAAAGCATAATCTCAACTATACATATAAAATGATGGGGTCTAAATTAGCTGTTACCACTCAAGAAAGAGATCTTGGAGTCATTGTGGATAGTTCTCTGAAAACATCCACTCAGCTGCAGTCAAAAAAGCAAACAGAATGCTGGGAATAATTAAGAAAGGGGTAGATAATAGGACAGAAAATATCATGTTCCCTATATATAAATCCATGGTACGCCCACATCTTGAATACTGTGTGCAGATGTGGTCACCCCATCTAAAAAAAAATATATATATTGGAATTGGAAAAGGTAACAAAAATTATTAGGGGTATGGAATGGCTTCCATATGAGGAGAGATTAATAAGACTGGGACTTTTCAGCTTGGAAAAGAGACGGCTAAGGGGAGATATGATTGAGGTCTATAAAATCATGACTGGTGTACAGAAAGTAGATAAGGAAGAGTTTTTTACTACTTCTCATCACCAAGAACTGGGGGCCACAAAATTAAATTAATAGGCAGCAGGTTTAAAACAAATAAAAGGAAGTATTTCTTCACACAACACAGAGTCAACCTGTGGAACTCCTTGTCAGAGGCTGTAGTGAAGGCCAAGACCATAACAGGGTTCAAAAAAGAACTAGATAAATTGATGGAGGATAGGTCCATGAATGGCTATTAGCCAGGATGGGCAGGAATGGTGTCCCTAGCCTCTGTTTGCCAGAAGCTGGGAATGCATGACAGGGGATGGATCACTTGATGATTCCCTGTTCTGTTCATTCCCTCTGGGGCACCTGGCACTGACCACTGTCGGCAGACAGGATACTGGGCTAGATGGACCTTTGGTCTGACCCAGTAGGACCATTCTTATGTTCTTATGTTATTTTATTGTGTTTTTATAGTAAAGTTGTACCAGTGCAAAGCACATGGTACCAATGTCAAGCCCCACTGTACCAGTGTTAAACTCTGTTCCGCCAGTGTAAAGCTCCATTATACCAGTGTAACTGAGGCTACACTGGGCAGGGGGTGTCAGACCACTGGACCCATACCGGTGTAGTTAAAAGTCCGGTTTTCTAGTGTAGAGCATCCCAAAGCAGCAGACCCTCAGCTGGTGTAAACTGCCCTACAGCCACTGACTTCGATGGCACTCTGACACTTTACACCAGCTGGGAATCAGCCCTGCGATGTTTGGAAGTAGAGTAAATAAGTCTCAGGAACTGATTTAATCAGTGCTATTAAAACAGCATATATCTCCCCATGCTCTGGTAACGCCCGCCGGGATCACACTTGGTATTAGCCCGAAACAGATTTGAAGGTGTTTACCTTCTGAGGCTGCTCAGAAGATGGGCTAATCAGCAGGCCCTTCCCCCTCCTGTATCTTGATACAAGTCAGCAATGTGTTCTTGGGGAACCAGGACGCAGTATCTAGACTGTCTGACTCATGAAACACCCCCCTCCCCCAGCCAGTCTCTGCTTGAACCAAAACCGATCAGAGAAAAGACTTCCAGAGAGCAGTGAAGGGCATTAGAAGACATACCTAGACCTCTCCTGACAGGGGTGACAAGATTAAGGCACCTCCATTAGCATACAGAATGAAGAACAGAGGCCACTCTCCAAGCCTCATGTGCATGAAAGATGGGACAGGAAGACATCTCCATTAGCATAGAGAATGGAGAACAGAGAACTGCACTGAACTCTGGGATCAGAAAAGCAGGGAAGCACTGCATCATGGGGCATCTCTGCTTCAGATGTTAATGAACCCACACTTGCACACACCCAGCTCAGCAGTTATCAGACCAATTCTAGTAATGAATCCTTGATTGATATCCAAAATACTGAAGCAGCCTAATCGCATTGTGAGCTCCCTGGAAGAAAACACCACCCATAGCCAAGAGTGATCAGCTCATATTGTCTAGCCTAAAGAAAACCCTTGAGTCATCAGTTTACCCATAAACAAATCTAGTGTTCTTGTGACAGATTTTTGTTACCGATTTGCCTGATGAGTCAGTTGATCAGGCTGGGGCCACAGGATCGTTTAGGGAAGAGATGACGTAACACACCAAGTGTCTCCGATATAAACAGCAATACAGCATGCACAAAATTGTTAGGATCACAACAATTGCATACACTAGCCAATAATGGCTTCTGGCTTCA